ACCTGTTACATATGTTACCTGCTTCCTATGTATACCTGTGAATAGGGTCCTATTATTTGCAAATAATTTTATTTCTTCCTTTCCGGTCTGTATACCCCTTTACCTTTTTTTTTCTTCTTTGTCTTTATCTTATTACATTGACTTCCAATTTTTGTTGATTTGTTGAATAGAAGTGGTGACAGTGATTGTCCTTGTCTTTTCCTAATCTTTGAGGGGAAATATCCAGGTTTTTTCTATTATGTAAGTTGGAAGGTTTTTTTGGTATAGACCCTTTATCAGATTAATGAAGTTCCCTTATATTCCTAATTTATTCTAAGTTTTTATCATAAATGTTAAAATTTTTCTAGTGTTTTTACTGCATCAATTAATAGGAGCATATGGTTTTTCTTTTTAATCTTTAATAAATTAGATTACACTGACTGACTTTCAAATATTGAAACAGTCTTGCATCCCTGGGATAAGCCCCATTAGGTTGTTATGCATTGTTCTTTTTATATATTACTGGTCTTTGTTTGGTAATGTTTTACTTAGAATTTTTTTCATATATGTTTGTAAAGAGATATTGGTCTATTTTCCTTCCTTGTACTATCTTTATCTGGTCTTGATAGCAGGAGAGTGCTACACTCCTAAAATGAGTTGGGAAGTGTTCCCACTTATTTTATTTTGGGGACCTATGGATTATTTAGAAATCTTCTGTTTAATATCCCAATATTTGGAGATTTTCTAAGTATCTTTATGTTACTGATTTCAAGTTTAATTTCATTATGATTAGCAACCTACTTTGTATAATTAATTATTTTAAACTTATTTAGGCTTGTTTTATGACCAAAGGTATTGTCTATCTTGGTTAATGTTTCATATGCACTCTAAAGGAATTCATATTCTGCTATTGTTGTGTAGTGTTCTATAAATGCCAGTTAAATTCATTTGGTTATATTATTATTCAGTTTATCTCTATCATTCCTGATTTTCCATCTGCTGATTCTATCAATCACTGAAATGATTCTTAAAATCTCCAACCATAATTGTGGACTAAACTACTTATCATTTAGTTTTATCAGTTTATCTTTTGTGTATTTTGAAGCCTTGTTTTTAGGTGCATACATGTTTAGGATTGTTGTAGCTTCTTCAAGAATTGACCCTTTTATCAGTATGTAATGTAATTGGAAGCTTATTCCTGGTAATTTTCCTTGCTCTGAACTCTACTTTGTCTCATATTAATACAGCGACTTCATTGTTCTTTTGATTAATAGTCAGGAGTATTTTTTATTGTTCTTTTGCTTACCTGTGGCATTATATTTGAAGTAAATTTATTGTAAACAGCATAGAGTTGGTTCTATTTTTTTAATGCTGATAATCTATGTCTTTTAATTGATGCATTTAGACCATTTACATTTCATATAGCTATTGATATTTTTTTTTTATTCAGGACTACCACTTTATTACTCATCTTCTGTTTGTTATTTCTGGGTGTTCCTCTGATAGAAGGAAGAAAGCATTAAGGATTTTTCCCATGCCCTTGGAACTATAGTTCCTCTAGTCAGAGGGAAAACTTTCTCTTTTTTCAGAATTGTAGGCACCTGCAAGGCCACCACTGCTATCACCGTTGCTGCTATTGCTATTACAAGATTGCCTGGGGGATATAGAGGGAGAAAATGCAAAAGAAAAAGTAAATCGCCCCATCTCTCCAATCCTTTGGGGACCTCACCTTTTTTTATTCTCCACAGACCAGAAAGAGAAGGCTTTTCTTCTAGTTCTTTCTGTCTGCCCTATGTGTGCACTTATGAGTTTCAGGCTATCTTTGTGTCCAGGCCAGGGTATAATGGGAAGAGAGTTAGTGCAGAAAATTCATTGCCAAATTGTTCACATACTGGCTTTCTTTCCCATTCTGTCTGCTACCATTTGCTTTTCCAAATCCTCAGCTGTCCCATGTATACCATCCATAGTTTTTAGATGTATCAAGTGGGAGAGTTAGAGTAGAGTGTACTTACTCCATGTTAACCAGAGCCAGGATCTCCAATGTCACATTTTGGTGTTTAGTTTTTCCTGACTTTTTGCAATGCGTCTGAACAAATTTAGAAATCTACTTTTTAAAATTAATGTGGGGCAGCGCAGGTGGCTCAGCAGTTTAGTGCTGCCTTCAGCCCAGGTTGTGATCCTGGAGGCCCGGGATTGAGTCCTATGTCGGGCTCCGAAACATGGAGCCTGCTTCTCCCTCTGCCTGTGTCTCTGCCTCTCTGTGTGACAATCATAAATAAATAAAAATTAAAAAAAATTAATGTGTTAAAAATGTGTTAACTTTTTGTTACCTAGTGTTTAAAATGAGTACTTCTGAAAATCTTTTCAATTCAGTAAATGTGGATATACATCATTTTTATGTCTGCTTAGTATTTCATTGCACAGGTAACTTTACTTTGCTTAATTTACACTCTGTAGTTGGACCTTTAAGTTTCTTCCGTTTTTCTCCCTTTATAAACAATGTTTCCATAAACATTGTTGTAGACACTACTTATGCACTTGTCCAATTATTTCCTTGGGAAAAATTCCTAATAGTGGAGTTGTTTGTACAAAAAGTATACACATTTTGAATTTTGATGCTTATTGCCCAACTACCTCCAGAAAATCTACATCAATTATTACTCTCACCAACTGAGTATGACAGAGCAAATCTTTCCATATCCTCGGCAGCAGTGGTTCTTTTTATCTTTTCTAATCATTACCAATGATACATCACATTCTAATATTTCCTTTCTGTGATTATCAATCCCATCTAGAATTATTCAGAATACATTATAATTTTCATTCATTGAATTCAATCAGTGATGTTTATTTTATACCTTCAATATTTAATTTCCATTGTGGTAAAATATACATATCATAAAATTTTCCATTTTAACCATTTTGAAGTGTACAGATTCAATGTCATTAACGACATTCATAATGTTGTACAATCACCACTGTCCATTTACAGAATTTTTTCATCATCTCTGTACCCACTGAATAGTAATTCCCCATTCCTCCTTCCCACAGCCCCTGATAACTCCTGTTACACTTTGTCTCTGTGAATCTATTGTAAGTGCCTCATGTAAATAGAATCATATAATATTTGTCCTTTTGGCTTGACTTATTTCACTTAGCATGATGTTTTCAAGGCCCATTTATGTCATAGCACATGTCTAAATTTCATTCAAATTTAAAGTTGAATAATTTTCCATTGTATGGATATGCCACATTTTGTTTACCCATTCATCTGTTGATGGACATCTGGAGTGTTCCCAATTTTTGGCTATTTTGAATATGCTGCCATGAACATTGATGTGCGAGTATCTGTTTGTGTCCCTATTTTCAATTATTTTGGGTATTTACCTAGATGCAGAATTTCTGTGTCCTATGGTAAATCTATGTTTAACTTTTTGAGGAATCACTGTACTGTTTTCCACTGTAGCTGCACCATTTTGAAATCCAACCAGCAACACACCAAGGCTCTAATTTCTCTACATCCTAGCCAACACTTGTTATTTTCTGTTGTTTTCTTTTTTAAAATAGCTATTTCAGTGGGTGGGTATGGAGTGCTTCATCTATTTTTTAAACGATCCTTATTAGATTTCATTATCAAGAATAAGCTGGTTTTTTTTCAAAGAACCTTGCCTTCTTTCTCTATGCTTTTGAAGAGTTGAAATAGCTTAACATTTTTCCTTGCTAGTTTGAGAGAATTTATCAAAGGAACCATCTGAGACACAATATCACCTTTCTTAAAAAAGATTTATTTATTTACTTATTTCTTTTTATTCATGAGAGAGGCAGAGACATAGGAGAAGCAGGCTCCCTGCAGGGAGCCCGATGTGGGACTTGATCCCAGGACCCCAGGATCACGATTTGAGCCGAAAGCAGACACTCAACCACTGAACCACCCAGATGTCCCAAGATTGATTGATTGATTGATTGATTGATTGATTTTAGAGAGAGAATGTATATGTGTGAGAGAGTAAGGGAGGGGTAGAGGGAAAGAGAGAAGGAGAGGATTTAAGCGACTCCATACTGAGTGCAGAGCTTGATGCAGGGCTTGATCTCACCACCCTGAGATCATGACCTGAGCCAAAATTAAGAGTGGGACACCTAACCAACTGAGCCACCCAGATGTCCCAACATATATCACTTTTTTAAGAGCTAATTCTTTGACAACTTTATTTCTTCACTGATCACTAACACAAGCAGTTTTCCTAACTCTTCTGGAGCATTTTGTGTCATTTTTTATTTCCCTAGAAAACCATGTGTGATAGACAGGGTTCATATTTTTCACATATTTGTAGCAATATATATATATACAAAACATGCCAAAACATGCCAACATATGCATATATGTGGTATGTATGTATGCTATATTATCTAATCATTGCCAATGGTATATCACATTTTAATATTTGTTTCTAGAATTTTCAATAGGCTACCATTATTCAAAGTACAATATATTTTATTCCATTGAGTATATATGACATTTACCTTTCCTGAGGCTTTCTTATTGTTCTTTTTTTTTCTCTCTCTCTCTCTAAATTAGCTCTCTTAGGTATATCTTTATTCATTTGTTCTTGGATTTGTTCAGAGTTCCTCTTCAGTGGGTCCCTCCCACTGAGGTCATGGCAAGGTAACCAGGGGTTATGACTGAGGGCATGGTTTTGAGAGCCAGCTGGTCTGAGTTCAGTGCTCATTCATTGATCTTAAATAATTGTTTAACCGCTCTGTCCTTCAATTTCCCCATCCATAGAATGGGGGAGGATATAGTACCTACCTCATTAGGTTAATACGAATATTAAAGAGCTGATAGTTTTTAAGTGTTTAGAAGAGTGCCCGGCACATAGCCAGCACTATAGAAGAATTTCTTAAATAAATCTAGACTTTTCTCTAATGTGCTAGAAGCCTAGGTCCCCTAGGAGCCTCTCCATTCCCCCAAATATACTTCTGTATCTTCCCACTACTTACGCTAACTGCCTCTTATTTTGCAGAACCACCTCTGTGCAGACAACCACTTTACTTTCCATTCTGCTGCCTGAGACAACCACATCCTCCTCACACATAACCCCAGGCTCCCATGGAGAGCTCAGGTCAGTACAATCGGGGCCAGAGGGGTCTAGTGCACCTGGCTGGATCATGGGGAAGGCCTCCCTTGCAGATGAGAATGCCTCCAGCAGGACCACTTTCACCTTCACCCAGATCCCCCCACTCAGCTGCCCCAATATGAGAACATTTTGAGAAGTGGACATTCACACTCTTGTATGAGCCCCAGCAGCTTGCAGGTCACTGAGCTAGACATCTGGGATAATGACAATAATACTCAAGATCTATCACTGAATGCTTGCATTTATTTAACAAAAACCTCTGTAGTGCTTACAGTCCATCAAGTAGTGATAAAAGCACTTGAGTAAATATTAACTCATTTGGTCTTCATAAAGACCCCATGAGATAGATGTTATCATTGCTCCCATTTCGCAGAAAGAGAAAGTGAGACCCAGAGGGGACAGGTATTGCTCTCAAGGCCACATAGATACTGTTTGGTCAAACCAGGATTTGACCCCAGCCATCTAGCTCCAGCACCATGCCCTTAGTGATTTCACTGTGGACTGCTCTGTGCAGACATCAGAAGGATTCGTGGGGTACAGCATCAATGTAATTGTCCTTGTTTTACTGAAAGGGGAATGGAGGCTCAAAGAGGTTAGTTAGGTAATTCACTCAAAGCTACACAGCTAGTAAGTGGCAGAGCCAGGATGAGAACCAAGATCTAGCTCGTTCCAAAACCCAGACTCTTCATGCTTTATCGATCGGGGACAGCAAGGAGAGATGGCCCTTCCCTCAAGATGTGTATCACCTAATGGTCACCCACAAAGTTCCAGAGCATTCCTCATGAAGCTTAGACCCTATGCCCTTGAAGACCCCTATCCTGAGGGGAGAGCACACCCAAGGCAAGTGCAGCTACCAGGTTGTTACCATCCCTAAGACATGCATCCTTTCTACACATATCCACTGTCATAAAGCCTCACCCAGCCAGAAGCAGCTCCATCTGAACCAGGCAAGCCCGTGAATCCTGGTGTGATATTCCAAGTTGTCTTTAACCATCTGTGGTTTGCACTGGGAGGAGGGGGGTGGAACCAGCATGGTGAGATTCCACATATTTCAAAACCAATTTATTTTGCACTGACTTTAATTATAACAATAGGTACAAACCATACTGTGTTTTAGGAAGAGAGGTATGCCAATAAAGTTTCTTTGGGTACAAGCAGTAGAAACCCATATGGCAAGTTTAATCTTCAAAAGTAAAGAGTGGCCAAGCATTGAAGGAATAGCTGAAGCCTCAGGCACCAGCAAAGGCAGAGAACGGAGTGGACTTGCCACCAGGACAGGAAGAGGTAGACGGTGACCTTGGAGAGCGCACCACGCATTCTTCACTGCTGACCATCATCTGCACAGGGGTTCACCTGGAGGGAGAGTCTACTGGCCAGCTTGGTCCTGTGCCCACTCCGAGACCCAGACAAAGCAGGGAGGATCTCTGGGCAGGAGAAACCACAGACATCCACCACCAGAGACGTGAAGGATGAACTCCCCACCCTGCCCGCCCAGCCACTCAAATCAAATGGGCAGAAGGAAACATCCCAAAAGTCGATCCCTGAGAGCTCTGAAGGGAACTTTTCCCATCATGATCAGAACTGCAGTTTTACGGGCTGTCTCCCCAAATTGCAAACGTTTATTAGCCTTTCCCACCTTCCTACAGCCCTAAGGGGTTCTGTCATTATAGTGTTAAGAAGAGGGACACCTGAAAAGTAAGGTATTTATCTTGAGGGTTGCAAAAAAGCAATGTTGCAAAAGCACCAAAGCTATTGTTACTTTGCCATCCCTGCCAACAGGGGCCATGATTACAAACATTGTTAGAACAATCTGAGCCTTTGTTTCATGAGGGTAGGGAGGTCCGTCGTGGGATGGAAGAAAAGTGAGCCACATTACTGCAGCTGATGGCGTGTCTGGGTGCTGAGCCTAGATTTCAGTGAGTGGCGGAGGTGCTGAGACAGCTGTCTGCACACCAGGGGACCCCCGGATGAGTCCTCAGCTCTGGTTGGAAGGGCAGTCCATGAGGTCCAGGTGATCAATGTGTGGGGACTCATGGGATCTGGGAGGATGGACCCTAGCTCAGGGGCCAAGGTCAGAGAAAGGCCACAGCATGAGGAAATGGAACCCGGGGTTAGTGATTTTATAGTGATTTTAAAAGAGAACAGACCAGAAAGAGTTTATTGGTAAGTTTCCATTTCCTTCCCAGGGAGGGGATGCTGATTCGGATGGCTGACACCCAGAAAATAGAAAAGGGTGATTCTTTTCAATACTCTAGATTGAGGGGAACATCCCTTGGGAATTACAAAGTCAACCTCTTTGGCAATAATTCTGTGTGTACCAAGGGACCTGAGTGTCCCTGTAACCCTTGCATCTGGATGGACACGTCCACCACCACCCCCAATTCCACTCCTGAGCAGAAGAAGGCTGAGGAAGGACTAAGTTTGATGATTCTTCCGAGACTTCCGCATTCTGATGGGTGTGTTAGTAGGGGTATCCTATCGTTTACACATGCATAGAATGAGATTTATTATAAGGAATTGGCTCACATTATTTTGAAAGCTGACAAGTCCCCAGATCTGCCATTGGCAAGCAGTAGATCCAGGAGAGCTGATGGTGTAGTTCCGGTCCAAAGGCAGGAAGAAAACCAATATCCCACATAAAATGAACTATGACAAGTAGGTATGGGGTGACCCAGACTGGTCTGCTTGGAAAAATCTTAGATTTTTTTTAAAGATTTATTCATTCATTCATTCATGAGGGACACACAGAGAGAGGCAGAGACACAGGCAGAAGGAGAAGCAGGCTCCTTGCAGGGAGCCCGATGTGGGACTTGACCCCAGGACCCCAGGTTCCCACTCTGAATAGAAGGCAGATGCTCAACCACTGAGCCACTCAGGCATCCCATCTTAGAAGATTTATTCATGTCAAGGCTGGACCCCAGGAGAGCTACAGCACTGGTGTCTACTGAGTCCCAGGGTCACATTTCTGAACAAATGCCACCCCTATTACAAAATATGCTAAGAAACAGCCACAACAAAAATCAGCTTTCTCCAGTTATACTCTTTGTATCTCTTCCCACCATGGTGACAGCCAGGGAGAAGCCATTCTGACCCTGTGACCTTCATCCTACATGCAGGGATGATTGTCCTCTGTGGACTCTGAGCGTCTGAGCCCTTGACTCTTTCTATGACTAATAGGTCAATTGTCTGGAACTCGAAGCATATCACCCAAGACAGTAATTCTCATTAGACAGGGCAGTCCATGAGGTCCAGGTGGGAGGACTTAACTATCCATTAGACTATTCTGGGAGGGCTCCTAAAAAAACAAAAAAAAAACAGTATTAGTCCCTACCCTACCCTCAGATATCTGATTTAAAGTGGTTTGTGGTGGGCTATACATTAGTGCTTTTTACAGATTTCTGGGTGGTTCTTCTATGCAGCCAAGATTGAGGAGAGAAAAGGCAGTCATCCTATGAGGGGCTTGGGAGCGATCTGATTCTGTCTGGGATCATGGGGCCAACACGGAGCTGGAATTGCCAAATATCACTACAGCCCCAAATGGTCTGAAATCAAAGAGTGGATCTTGAGCTGCCTTGAGAGCGGTGACTCTTTTCCCAGGCAACTATTCAACGTATTGGCTTTTGGCATTCAAAGCCCAGACACACAGAGACAGATATATGTTCTTCTCCCTTTTCTGGGTAAGCAGGTGAATTGGGCACCTACAAGCATGTAGTTTTAGAAGAGGAGCATCTGGCAAAGAGAAAGCTCTGCTCCAATAGCTCTTGGCCATACACAAATCACCTCTCCCCTCTGAGCCTCATTTTCCCAGCTGTAAAATGGGATGAGTGCCTCCGAGGTGTTTGGAGAAGCAAGATGGGGCCGAGGTTAAGAGCTCTCAACCTGGAATCTACCAAACAAAACAAAACAAAACAGAGAGAACAGTACTGGCCCTGCCAGACTCCCAGGGCTCTGCTCAGAGTCCGAGATAATACACCAGAAAACTCTCTGCACGTCCACGAGTCTGTCTAGAGAAGGTTAGCTGCTCTAAAAAATGATCCCAATGTCAGTCGATCGGCACAATGAATGCTTATTTCTGCACCCACATTGCCATCCAAGTCGGGATCCAGTCTTTCAGGGGTCAAGGCCCCTTCCTTCTTGGGGCACTGTCATCTTCAACATGGCTTCCAATGTCACCACGGAATGGGAAGAGACAGGTAGAGGATAGTGCAGGGGACTTTATGACCTACGTTGTGTCCACCACGTTCCATGGGACAGGACTCAGTGCCCGGCTCCCATCAACTGCAGGAGAATCTGGGAAATGGAGTCTTCCTGTCCACCTGGGACAAACCTGAAATTGGTTTGATGAACACAAAACATTGTCTTGCCACACCTCTTTAAGACTCTCCGCATGTATGCCTTTTGAGCACTATTTATTTTTATTTTTTTAAAGATTTTATTTATTTATTCATGAGAGACCCAGAGAGAGGCAGAGACACAGGCAGAGGGAGAAGCAGGCTCCGGACGCTGGGATCGCAACCTGAGCTCAAGGCAGATGCTCAACTGCTGAGCCACACAGGCATCCCTCAAGCACTATTTAAATGTCAGATATTAATAGTAATGTGATGCCTAATAGTGATACCCCACCTCCTGGATGGAGGGGGAGGGTAATCATTATGAATGTCATTTATTTTTTGGCTGTTCTAGGAATAATGTTAGACATGCATGTGGTATATGAACAACCCTTAGACACCTGAGGCACAAGAAATATCTCTTTTTCTTTTGCTTAATCGCATCAAACCCAGCTTTCAGCACTCAGTTTTCAAGACTAGTGCAAATTCCAATGTCATTCACGGGGTGCTGTTCCCCTCTTTGCCATCTTCTAAGCCCAAGGGTTACAAAGTCCTCACGATGGGAAGAAGCCATCGTGGTCTACAGTCCACTGGAGCTGTAGCCCCTGCCCCAATTGCACCCCACCCTGGACAGGTTAGCCAGGCATGTGCGGTCTATAGGGAGAGAGAGGGTTCTTTGGAGATGTTCTTGAGCGAGTGCTGGCAAAGGTGACCCAGGAGACCGCAGCAGAAGCCCCGAAGCACAGAGTGTAGCACTCACCTGCCATCACCTGCTGCCCCTGGTAAGCTGGCTCCCAGACAGCCCTGGTCTTTCTCCTTCCCTGGGTCCCCAGTCCTGGGGGACCCAGCCTCCCACCCTTGGGTTCCCATGTCCTCTGTCCCCATCCCTTTGAGACAATCCAGCTTGGCTGTCTCAGTCCCATGGCCAGGGGTCTCCGCCTCCAGGGGCCAGATACAGGGTGTCAATGAGTGAAACAAGGACAGTGGACACTATAAAGAACCAGAGTAGCTGCGCCGCCGTCTCAAGGGTGCAGCGGCATCCCAGCCCTGTCCATCTCCACATGTGACGAGAATACACGCCTGGTGTCAACAGACTTTCAAAAGATGCCAAAAACCCAAACTTTTATGTAAAATCTCCTGATTTGTAAATGTAAGCAGCTGATTCCTTCCTTTTTTTTTTTCTTTCCAAGACCCTCTATGAGCCCAAACAAAACACGTCTGCAAGCCAGATGTGGACCAAAGCCTGAGCGTTGGTTCCGGCTGCCCAGACTTTCGAAAACAGACTTTATTTGGAGTTGTCTCCTGGGGCTACTGGCAACTTCTCTATTTTTCTCTGAAACATAAAAGCTAAACTCCCTGTGCAAGGCAGGGGAACCCAGGGCTCAGAAGACCTCAAAGTCTTGGCTGCCCTTCTAGTGGGGGGCGGGACAGGGAGGAGATCGCGGTTGTCACTGTTTTAAGTCTGTGCTGATGTCCATAGTGAGGCAGGGAAGGAGGGAGGAAGAAAATAGACATAACACAATGTTTTAGTAACTTGGCCCACATTAACTCGTTGAATCTTCACACAAGGCAGAGATAGTAGACAGAAAGTCGGCTTGTGACCAGCTTTTGTGCCAGGCTGAGTGATGTCCTTGCACCAGTGGGGAGGTTGCACGGACTCCGACTGTAACAACTTCCCACTCTCAGCCTCAGGGAGACTCAGAAACAGGCCTCACTGCGGTCCCGGGGGGACCCAGGGAGAGGCAGGAGAAAGGTGGGGGGCTCAGAGAAGCCAGGGGGCCCTGGCCGACTTAGCAGAGCTCACACCAGAGCCCCCCCTGGGGGCGTGGTCCCTGAGCACCAGCACCTTGGCAAAACACATTCTGACTCCCAAACGGCCACCTGCTGCTTTTCTAAAAAAAAAAAAAAAAAACGTACAACTTCAATCCTGCCTACTTCCAAAGGAATACGAGGCAATTACCACACATGCTAAGTAATTGATAGAGCAAGAACACCAAAGAGGAGCAAAGAGGAGACGTCCCTGGGCCCGGAGAGGAGCTGATTTTCGAGGCTGGGCCTCACTTTGATTGCAAGTTTCCTGACAGCCAAGCAAAAGAGGAACCCCTGAGACATGTGGTTTTTATTGTCTGACAACCAAAGAAAGCACCCTTGCCCATAAAGGCGAACACTTGGTTAGAGCTAGCTGTAAAGAGGAATTTAGGGCATGGGAAGTGTCTCTCATACTTCCTGTGTGAGTCTGGAGCTTCCAAGGAGCAGACATCATGACAGGGTGGCCACGCAGGAATTGAGGTGGGGACATGGCCGAGGGGCAGGATACAGAGAGGATGCTGACGGCCATCCAGCTCCGAGGGAAGGAGAAAGAGGAGAAGAGCTGGTGGAAATGAGTTCCGCTGATAATGTGGCCAAGTGGGGCTCAGCAGGGAGGTTGGGGACCCCCCCCCAGCAGAAGTCAGGCAGCTTGAGGAGGAGGTGCCACCGTGGCCGGCAGCATGACCCCGCGCCAGGCAGGTGCACAGCCCAGAGCTGCCCCCCCAACCACCCTCCACCCCTGCCCCTCGGCCAGCTAACCTCCCTGTAGTGGGAGATGGCCCAGGAGCCCCCTCGCCACCGACCCTTGTACCGCCCTCACGCTTTGCCAGGTCAAGATCCCACCGTCGAGGAAAGCATGATCCCATGACACTCATTCAAATGGCGAAGACGACTTTATCCAAGACAATCACCACAGGGGACAGTGCTTGGGCTCAACCCCAAATGACACAGAGACATCTGGGGAGTCATGAGCCCATGAGCCACGTGGGGGCCGAGTGGGTAGAGAATCAGTAGGAGGAGACACGGAGCTTCTAGATTCCTGCTAACAGTGTTCTGCTAAAACGGGGCTGGGCAGGCGGACGGCAAATCCCGGGCTGAGGTGGGGGCCCTGGTAGGGAAGTTGACCCAGAGGAGCCGGAGTTAAGTTTAAGGAGGGGGCCAGCCTATCCCCTCTTGTCCCAGTACTTATCTGACATGAAATTGACTTGACATTTAGGAACACGTGATACATATATTTTTTTTTGAACACACATTAAAATGAGTGTATGATGATTCAGGTCTCAAGACCATCTGAGTGCCCCCTAAAACCGCCCTGTGTCCCACCAGGAGCACCCCCATGGTGCTTTGGGGGACGCTGGTTTTTGCAGGGGATGCAGAGCTGCCACTTGAAAGGCTCTGCTGCACGCCCTGTGTGATGGTGGCCCCACTCTAAGCTGGTCACTTGGGGGCACCTCTTGGGTCACTTTGGGGCTTACAGAATGGGGCTAAAGAGGGCCTCAGGGAGAGCAGAGGTGGGGGCGAGTGTGGGGTCAGGGGCGCTGAGCTTCAAAGCTCCTGGCTGGCTTCATTGCTCACCCCACCCCTGCTGCCCAGATGTGGAGCTGGACCTCCAGCGGAGCGTGCAGGCCGTGCTCCGGGAGCTCAGCGCCCAGGCCCCCGCCCTGCAGAGCAACCAAGGTAAGAGCCAGTCGGCAGCCCCGGCCCCCCCGCCTCCTCTTTCTCACCCACCTCCCCGATTCCCCTGGTGAACAGAATTCCTCTTGACCCTCTGGGCCCGCATGACTTCCAGAAACGGCCTGATGTGCTGAAATGTGAACACTACCAGCCCATAAGCCACAGGCACGCACACCCCTGTCCCCACGGGTGCCCCACATCCCCACCCTTCCACCCTGAGACTCTGCGGTCCTCAATGGGGAGCAGAGCAGAATTTCTTCACCTGCGAGGAGCCCACCCCTGTTTTCCCAGAGCCAGGCACCGGGTGGCAGGGTGGGGTCAGATCTGTGGCTGCTCAGAGTCACAGTCTGGGGCTCCCGGGCTCAGGGTCCTGCTCAGCGTCGGGGGGGGGTCCCCTCTAAGAGCCCCCTGTCCTGCGCGCATGTGCTGGGCTCCCCTTCGTCCCGGCCAGGCATGTGGAGATGGTCCCTGCACAAGAAGGTCGAGCGAGATCCTGCCAAGAGTCCGGCGCTGGTCCGCATCCTACTCAGAGAACTGGAGAAGGTGGGTTCTCGGGCTCCAGGGAGGCAGAGGGGCTTAGGGGGGAGGTGAGGCCAAGCCTCAGTCTCCTCAGTGCTGTGCCCCCCCCAGACACTGGTCATTCGCTGGTTGCCTGCATGATTTCCAGGAGCTAAGTGTCCATCCCGCACTCCTATAAGGACATTTCTTTCCTTTCCACTGACCCCTGTGGTTTCGCTTGACGTAGCATATTGCAAAGAGAAACTGGAGACCGTGACCGTAGATGGAAATCCCCACTTGCAGAAACTGAAAACGCGGATAAACACGAGTGCATACCTATTGAAAATGTTTTCTTCATTGTTCTTGTGCCCCCCATGCCACCCGATGCTCTGCGTGCAACCGTTTGGGAAACACGGCACTCTGGGAGCCTCCACGTTGGGGCTTGGCACCAGTTCCTGCACCGAGTGGATGCCCCCGCCCCCTGGGTCCCCAAGCCCAGTAAATGCCCCTCTGTGTCCTGTTTTCCAGGCAGAAAGCGAAGACCTCCGGCACGTCATCATCCCCTTGCTGCACACTCTAATGTACGTGCTCACTAAGGTGAGCTGGGCCGAGCGTCCGGAGGCTCACGGTACCCCAGATACCATCGCCTCCCTCAGGGGACACCCAGTCTCTGCCTGGGCGAGCCTAGAACTCTTGGGATCGCCTGCCCCAAACTGGCTTCTCTGCACCAGCTGTGATGGCCTCTCCCTAGCCCACGGAGGGCTGTTCCCCAGGAGGAAGTAGGGAAGTGGGAAAGGCAGCGTGCAGAATGCACCAGAGCCCCGGGGGGAGGCCAGAATGAGGTCCCGGGGATTGCTCCTCTGCGCGCTGGGGGCGGCACTGACCCCTGCACAGGGAAGTGCCAGGCCTCAGAGACCGTGTCTTGGGCACAGTAACCAGGAGCTGTCAACAGTGGCATAGGTGGGAGTGGGCAGCGAGGGAGACAAAGGGGCAGGAAGAGGAGCTCAGGAGCTGCTGGGATGCAGGGGCAGGATAGAGGAGGGGGAGCCCCCCCCCCGGGCGCTGCACCCAAGCATCATGCCTACGGGATACCCCAGTTTTGAGCCTGGGCCACTGCAGGAATGTGCTCCCACGACCAGCAGAAGGCTGGGGACGGGGGTGGTTGAACTTGAGTGGGGATGTCCAAGAGGAGGCATCTCACAGGCGCTGGGAGCAGAGGCTGGGGTGCTCGCCTGGGAGGGTCTGGCTGTCAGGCCCACCCTCCTTGCCTCCGTCCCACTCTCCAGCTCCACCCAGAGCCCTTTGGTGACCCAGGGCTCTGAGCACTCGACTCCTCCCTCCCACCCAGGCCACTGGCATCACGGAGGAGCTGTACCGGAGAACCTACACCTTTTGCACGAGGCTGCTAACCCTGCCCGCCCCCTACTGCACGGTTGCCTTGGACTGCGCCGTAAGGCTGAAAACAGAGACAGCTGTCCCAGGTAAGAGCTGCGGAGGGAAAAGATGTTCCAGGTAAGAGCTGCCCCAGGTAAGAGCTGTCCCGTAAGATCTGTCTCCAGTGAAAACCTATCTCAGGTAAAAGCTGTCCTAGGTAAGAGCCGCCCCAGGTAAAAATTATCTTAGGTGAGAGCTATCTCAGGTAAGAGCTGTTCCAGGTAAGAGCTGTCCCAGGTAAAAAGCTGCCCCAGGTAAAAGCTATCTCAGGTGAGAGCTGCCCCAGGTAAAAGCTATCAGGTAAGATCTGTCCCAGGTAAAGACTACCTCAGGTAAAAGCTGTTCCAGATAAAAGCTATCCAAGTAAGAGCTGTCCCAGGTAAGAGCTGCAGCGCCACTTCCGTCCTGGTCTTGCTTTTTCTTCAAGCTTCCTGGAGCTAGAAGGTTCTAGCACTTTCTGTGAAGGTGACGAACGGGGTTCAGAGACTGGGGGCTGGCCGGCTGATGGGGTCTGCTTTGCAGGGACGCTGTACCAGAGGCTGGTCATTGCCGAACAGAACCTGACGAGTGAGCTGTACCCCTACCAGGAGAGGTGAGTGGCCCCAGAGAGGCTGATGCCTTCTGTCCCCTCCGGGCGTAGGGACTCCATGACCGCTCCCTGATGGGACCAGGCTGGATGGAGAGCAGCCCCAGCAGAGCTTCCATCAGAGACATTTGTCTAGCAGTAGAGCATATCTTCGAGGGCGGGCAGGGCCAGCCTTCTCCTGCCTGGGTCTTTCTTCTTGGGAGGACCGCAGAGCATCCTGCTCACACGCAGAAGGTGACACAGGAACTGAGCCACCTGCAGTTCTGTCCTCCACCTCCGTGCCATGTGCAGCCAGGCAGCCGCGGGCACCACAAGCACCCCATGAAATCTGGGGCTTTCCTCTGTGTGTTCCCGGCCCCTTCGCATAAGCTTGAGGAATTGACCACCTTTTGCATTGGAAGGAAGGGCTGAGGGAGTTGGGGCGTCCTGCCTCTGGCCCTGCAGGCGCCTGCACTGACCTAGCACCTGAAGGCACAAGCTCGAGGCGGTGTTCGTGGAGGGGGCGGTGCGGGGAGGCGGAAGGACCCAGGGGAGCAGGTGCAGGAGGCTGGTTTTTCTGGTGATGGGGTGATGAGAGGAGACGGGGCTCACTTAGGGTCCAGAGCTCGTTTGGGCGGGAGGGATTTAGGGTCCCTCCTGGAGGATGAACTCATCCCTGGACCATGATGCTGAGGCGCAGGGAGCAAGATTGGGGTTGGGGCTTCCCTGGATGTGAGACCGGCACCCCCTGTCACCCGCCCCACCCAACAGGGACACACTGCCCCTGACCGCTCCTATTTGCCACGGTCCCCACCGCTCCCTATTGTGTCCCTTCCATAGACTTTTGGATTCAAGGCTCCTGTTTTCAAAGGAACATAACACTTAGGGGCTGCCAGACGCTGAGGGTGCCCCATCCGGGGGGCTCTTCTCCTGCTGGTCATCCTCACCAGCTTCCACCCTCCCCGCCCACCTCTGCCCACAGAGTGTTCCTCTTCGTGGATCCTGAGCTGGTCTCTCCCTCCGTGTGCAGCGCTCTGCTGCTGGAGATCGAGGCAGCACAGGTGCAGCAGACCCCAGAGGCCTGCATGCGCCACGTGGTCTCCCACGCCCTGCAGGCAGCCCTGGGGGACGCATGCCATGCCAGTGCCCTGCAGAGGAAGCTGAAGGTAATCACCCCCCTGTCCTCAGGGGGCCCTGCACCCCCACGCCAGTGTTCCTCCCCTCCCCCTGTTCGCATACCACCTTTCCCCATGATCGAAAATGAGTGCACACTCATGGCGGAAAATCTGGAAAAAAAAAAAAACCACCATCTTCGCACAGATGAGTGCGCTGTCATTTATTTAACTCCTGCCCCTGTTCCTGGGGTGGGCATTTCGTTCATTTCCAACACTCACCCACCCACTCCTAATTTTTTCCCTCCGGCTCCGCCTTGCACCCCTGTACACGGCCGAGGCTCCAGTAGATTGGAGATGCTCCAGCCAAGGGTTGTTGTACCAGGTGCTGGGCTTCTGGGGGGGGGGCATGCCACCTGGGGCCTGTGTCTCCGCCCCCCCCCCCCGCCCTGTGGGGGAGGCGATCTTTCCCGAGGGGAAGGCTCCAGTCCTCTGGAGACACTAGGTGGGATGGTGGCTAAGGCTCTGAGCTCGGGTGCCCTGGGGGGAAGGGTCAGCTACCCCCCACTTGTCCTATCCCAGGAAGGGAGGTGTCAGTCCTCCATGCAGCCCTGTTTCAGACCTTGCTTTGCCCATGCATCTGATGCGACCCTGTTCCTCTTGTCGCTCTTCATCTGGAACCTTCCATCCATACTCTGAGCCCAGCACCTTGGATACTTCCTTTGACGGTGCTTTGTATACGCTGGGTCCCTCCTTAAGCCACGAGGACTGTTTTCCGTCATTCCTCTGCTCTCCGAGAGCCCTTCCCGCCTTCAGGATCCCCTTCCTTTGTGGTTGCCCGCAGCACGGGACCACGTCATGGAGGAATGCGCCCCCAGTTATACCCAAGTACCATGTTGGTTTCTGCCCACACACCTCTGGCCCCAATAGGGAGGTTTCAGCCCTTGCTCCCCTCGATTGGCCATGGGTCTCAGTCGGGGAGGGGATGAGCTTTCCCAACCAGCTCAGGGTCATCTCAAGTGAGGGTGACAGGCTGGGCCTTTTTTTTTTTTTAAGATTTTATTTTGTTTATTCATGAGAGATGCAGAGAGAGGCAGAGACACAGGCAGAGGGAGAAGCTCCCTACAGGGAGCCTGATGCGGGACTCGATCCCAGGACCCCGGGATCATGCCCTGAGCCAAAGGCAGATGATCAAATGCTGAACCACCCAGGTGCCCCCCCAAAAAAAATCTTTAAAAATAAAGATTTTTGGGCCAGGACTTTATACTTCCACATCTTCTAGTTATGGGAAGTGGGGTGTCCACAGGGATGGGGCAGGACCATGGAGGTGGCTTTCTTCGGCTGAGACCAATTTTGAGATTTTTTTTTAAAATTCATTTATGGGAGACACAGGGAGAGAGAGAGGCAGAGACACAGGCAGAGGGAGAAGCAAGCTCCATGCAGGGAGCCTGACGTGGGACTCGATGCCGGGTCTCCAGGATCAGTCCCTGGGCTGAAGGCGGCGCTAAACCGCTGAGCCACCCAGGCTGCCCCGAGGCCAATTTTGGAGAGGGGACTCAGGGAACCTCTGGCAGCTGCCAGCACTCCCAGCAGCGGGGCTCAGGAGTGCCTCAGGCCCGAAGACAGGGATCCGCGTGGTCACCATGGCATTTATCACACCACCTCACCCAGGGTCAAAGCCAAAGTCATTACAATGGCCTACAAGACCCTCAAGATCTGTCCCCCATCTCATTTCCCCTTTGATTCCATCTGTTTTTATCATCTATACTCTCCCATTCCTGTGCTCTGCTCCAGCTACACAGGTTTCCTTATTGTTCCTCAAACACACCAGATGTGCTTATACCCCAGGGCCTTTGCACTTGCGGTTCCCTATACTTGGGATGTCCTCTCAGATAACACAGCTCGCTCTTTCACTTCCGTTAGGACTTTCCTCAAGAGTCACCTGTTGGGGAGACTTCTCTGATCACGCTATCTAAAATTTCATCCCCTCTCTCCAATTTCACATCCTTCTTCTCTGCACATTTTCCCCTTTAGCTGTTATTTATCACACTATGAAGTTTACTTATCTTTATTATCACAGAGAGAGAAAGAAAGAGGTACACTGTAATACAAACTCCCTGAGGACAGGCATTTTTATCTGAATCCCAGCACCTAGAACAATGCCTGGCTCACAACAGGTGCTCAGTAAATATTTAATTGATATATTTATAAATTAAGCAACAAGATGACATGGATCCTATGACCCCTTCCAACTCTGACTCTGTATCCCTCTAATTGCATTATTTGTTCATTCTGCAAATATTTATTGGAGCCCTAGCTACTCAGAATGATCTGCTCTCTCTCACTCAGGAAGTTAGGAACCTGCTTGGCAGACCCCTAGCATAGAACAGAGGTGAGAACAGGCCCTGCTGTGCCTGCCCATGTTCTTGTTAGAGCCCCTCATCGTTGTCTTTTTTTTTTTAAGATTTATTTGAGAGAGAGAGAGTGGAGGAGCATACGGAGAGATAGGAGGACTGTATGCTGAACATGGAGCCTACCATGGCCCGATCCCACAACCCCCCAGACCACATCCCAAGCCCAAATCGAGAGCCAGAGGCTCAATCAACTGAGCACCCCCAGCCGTCCTGGAGACCTGCATCTTCTAAACTATGAGATGGGATTTGGTGGTGGTGGTGGGTGGGGGTGAGGGAAGATGGCCAGGGAACATAATCCAGGGCATTGGTTCTTAGAGTGTCAGCAGTCTACCGCAGGAGGCAGCCAGGCCAGGGCATGGAATGCACAGACTTACAAAACCTCTTTCTATTAATTTCCATTAAGGAGAAAGGCTCAGCTTGGTGCTTTACCTCCAACTTCCTTTAAAAAAAAAAAAAGATTTTATTTATTCATGAGAGATACAGACAGAGACACAGGCAGAGAGAGAAGCAGACTCCATGCAGGGCGCCCAATGGGGGACTCGATCCCAGGACCCCCGGATCATGACGCGAGCTGAAGGCAGATGCTTAACCACTGAGCCACCCAGGTGCCCCCCACCAACTTCTTTAACACTGACTTCCCTTAAAAGAAGGAAGCAGGCGTACCTGGATGGCTTGGTTAAGCCTCCTACCCTGGGTTGAGGCTCAGGTTGTGATCTCAGGGTCGTGAAATTGAGCCCCACAATGCAAGTCTGCTTGAGACTTACACTGCCCCACACCCTGGCACGCATGCACCCGCTCTCTCTAAAGCGAATAAATAAATCTTAAGAGAGAGAAAGAAGACTTCAAGTTCTAAAGCCTTGGTAGACCACAGTACCTGGCTAAAACTTAAGAATAGTATTTTGTAATCATTATAGTCACCTTTGTAACTGTCCGTGTAGCATGCATGACACTAGCCTTTTTATATAAAGTAGCAACATAAATTGTCCCTCTGAAATAGTTTAGAACCAAAAAAAAAAAAAAAAAAAAAGTCCTTTTCCAAAAAAAAGGAAAACGGCAAGTGAATACTCTATAGGTGGTATGTCAAGGTAGCATAGGAATGATAGAAGTTTAGGAAATCCTCAGCAACTCTTTCTTGAGCATCAAGTATGTGCCCACAGGTGTTCTGGGTGCGGCTATAAGCAGACGAAGCCCTGCCTTCCTGGAGTTTGCATCCGGGGGGCGGAGGGGGGGTGTCCAAGGATGGCGATCCCTGCCCCCTCTGGGGGTTCCGACATTGCAAGTGGCCATGGTGTGAGGGACAGAGGGACCCCGCGGGTGCAGGCAGCATGGGGGAATGTCGGGGCTGGGCTGGGTGGGTAGGTGCTGGGCCCGGGACCCAGGCTCTGGCCCGGGACCCAGGCTCTGGTGCCGCTCCCCGGCAGGCCAGCCCTCGCGGCGCCCTGGAGCGCTATTTCCACGCTGTGGTGGCAGCGGTGGAGCAGATGGCCAGCGACCCCAGCCCGAGCCGCGAGGGACACCAGGAGAGGCTGGAGGAGATCTACTGCTCGCTGCTGGGGCCGGCGGCCGCCACCAGGGGACGCTACTGCGGTAAGCGGGTGGGGGCCTGCAGGGGGCGCCAGAGAGCAGCGCTGCACCGGCCGCTGAGGCGGGGCGGGGCGGGGCAGGGGTGGGGGGTGGGCGGTGGAACCTTGGGCGCCCCAACCCCGGGAACTTGGAAGGTCCTGGGCTCAGAAGGTGGGTGGTTTGGTCACTAGGACAGCTAACACCTGCTAACGCTGCTGACGTCCTCCACCCCAGCTGCTGTTCTGGGCACTTGATATATAGATAGATAGAGATATATCAAGGATTATATATAGGAATTATATATAATATAATTACATATAATATATATTAAGATTTTAGTTATTTATTCATGAGAGACACAGAGAGAGAGAGAGACACAGGCAGAGGGAGAAGCAGGCTCCCTGCGGGGACCCCGACGCAGGACCCGATCCCAGGACCCTGGGGTCACGCCCTGAGCCAAGGGCAGATGCTCAACCGCTGAGCCCCCTAGGTGCCCCTGATGTATATTTAAATATGACCTCAATCATCAAAGTGAACTTCTGAGATAGAAATTATCTCCCGTTTTACAGACAAGAAGCCAGAGTTAGAAAGATGCTGAAAAGTCGGGCCCAACCTCACCCAGCTCCTAGGAGGCAGTGGGGGGAACGAGCACCAGGCTGCGCCGTAGAAACACAGTGGCAGGAAAGGCGCCCTGGCTGCGCTTCGGGCTCGGGGTTAGCAGGAAGGGGCGAGCCCTAGAGGGAAGGTCCCGAAAGACCCTGAGCCGGTTTCAGGACATGAAGGGTCCTCACAGCAGAGCTAGGAAGTTTGTAGAAAACGGGGGAGCTGAACAGTGTCGGGCTCAGAGGGGACAGGTGTGCTGTTGGCTCCCTGAATGAGCTGATGGGGCGGAGAGGAAGCTGGGGCTGGACCATAGGGGAGAGAGGGTCTCAGCACCCCCTCTGGGCCCTATAGAAGCTGGAGCAGGGAGGCCAGAGGAGAATCCCACAGCTCTCTGCTTCCTTCAGGTGACCCCCTGCAGGACCCACAGCCAAGCATCCCTCTGCCCAGCCCCCACATCACCTTCCACCTGTGGACTGATGAGGAGCAGCTCTGTAAGTGCCATGCCTCGCCCCTGCCCGTGGGGAGCTGGCTGGGAATAGAGGTGTGTGTGTGTCTGTATGTCTGTGCGTGTGTGTGTGCGTTCATCTGTATGCCCCTGACTCCCTGAGCTGTTTTGCACATCTGGAAGGATCCGTTGTCTGTCTGTCAGAATAGCTCAGTGCATTAGCCACCAACTAATGCAGGCTGTGTCCAGAACGTGCCACATGCTCATGTTGATGCCAACAGATAATCAATGTCCCCGAGAAGGAGGCCGTCACCAAAAAAGTTACAGTTCCAGCAACTGGAGGGGGTCTTCCAGGGAGACCTGCCTGCCTGGCACTTCCGTCCACACCACTGTCCCACTCGGCTGTCCCCAACTCTTCTCAAGGCAGATGCGGGGGTGGGGGAGACAAGGGTGCAGATTATGGTGCCAAGTGCTGGGCTAGTGAACTGGGTCCACGTCCTGAAACTTCCTTTCAGGTCCTGGGCCATCCTAGACTGACTCAGTTTTCTCATGGGGAATCAAACAAAAGTAGATTAGAAAAGTCTGGAAGTCTTTCCTGGCACATGTAGGGTCTGCTCTCTGTGTCCCAGGGGAAGCCACAGACAGTGGGAGGAAGGGAGGAAGCTAATGAGGACTCCAGGGTCGGAGAAGCAAGAGGTACTGAGTGAAGCTGACTTTTCTGCTACAGGACTTCTCAGAGCCTTTGATAGCTCACTAGGGGAACCCAACAAGAGGTGGCAGGAATATTGAGGGTTCTCCATCTTTGTAGTCCCCAGAATCTTTGTTCCTTGGTGGGGCATCTTGTGGGGCTTCTAGTCGGCTCAACGGGGTTTGGGTGACACGGAACACACAGGCCCAGCCAGCCTCATGTAACCTCTATGCCCTGACGGTCCCCTCGCTCTCTGCGTCCCAGGGAAGGAACTGGTCCTCTTCCTGCGCCCGAGATCCCAAGTGCGCCTGAGCGCCGACCTGGAGGCCTTGGACCTGCAGGGCCTGTGGCCAGACCGGGAGCTGGCCCGGGCGTCCATGCTGTCCACCGACAGCGGCATCGAGCGGGACCTCCCTTCGGGGGCCGACGAGCCCCCGGGACCGGGCAGCCCCGAGACGGAGCGCGCCGGGCTGCAACGCAAGGGGGGCATCAGGAAGCGGGTGTGGCCCCCCGACGTGGCGATGCCTGCGTGCTGGGCGGAGCCGCAGGGGCTACACCGCAGGACCGGGGTGCCCGGCGGGGTCGGGGAGCTGCTGCCCGGCGTCTCCCGGCTTCACACGGCCAGGGTGCTGGTGCTGGGGGACGACAGGATGCTGGGGCGCCTGGCGCAGGCCTACCACAGCCTCAGGTAGGGCCCCGGGGCGGCGGCGGGGGCGCGGGGCAGAGGGTGGGCAGCTTGGGGGGGGGTGCTGGCCAGGGCACAAGTGAGCCCCACGCATCACCGGCTGTGGTAGACGCAGTGCACCCCCGCCGCGGACCCCCGTGCTCGCCGCTCCGCGCACTCCTGTCCCGTGAGCCCCGCAACCCTCGCCACCGCCCCCCCAGGACAGGCGCTGCTGCGCCCGTTCTGTAGATGAGCAGACAGGCTCGGAGGGGTTGATTACCCGCCGTGCCGCTGCAGAGGTGATCGATAATCAGAGCCAGGATGAGGAACCGCGGAAGGCTGCAACACCTGCCCGCCCCCCATGCTCTGCCCACCCCTCTTTGCCAGGAAACGAGAGACTCAGAAGTTCTGCCTCACCCCCAGACTCAGCCTGCAGCTGTACTACATCCCCGTACTGGCGCCTGAGGTGGCTGGGCAGGGGCGCGCGGGGAGGGCGAGGGGAGGGGGCTGCCCGCAGCAGGGGCGCAGGGAGGGGCTGCACTGGGCCCCCGCTGCCCCCCATCCCAGGCTCCCAGGGATAGGATCTTCCCTCCTTAGGTTACGGGGCTGGGGGATGCCTTCTAGAAGCCCCCAGAACCCTCCAGAACCCCCAGATGGGGGCCCTGGAGGCCCAACATCCCCCCATGGGGCCAGCCTGCCTGTTGCTGGATTTTCTTTTGCCTTTCTAAGGGACGTCATTGCAAGCTTCTTCTCAAACAGAGGCTTGCACACACATGCACACACGCAGAGCACACTTCCTGGGGTCCCCTAAAAAGAAACCTCAGGCAGTGGGAGCCCGTTGATGGATGAGGGCAGGGCGGACACGCTCAGCCTTGCAGCTCTGCATTTCTGTTGTCGCGCGTCTGCTTGCTTTTTGGGCAGCGTTAAATGCAAAGCAGTCCTTGTCGCTCAATTTGCAAGGCTGATGATGGTCACTCTTCAGTGTCCCGGGCACGTGGCCCTCAGCCGAAGGTATTCCAGCTTCCCCGAAGGTGTAAACCTAATCCTCTTCACGTGGCAGAGGAACTGAGGTCCCAAGGGGTTCAGTGTTCGGGCTGTTTGCCCGGGGGACCCTCTGGCCAGGAAGAAGGTGCCAGAGACCAAGCCTGATGGGGGTCTGCCCCATCCCCTCGTCCCCAGAAGCCAGCGTCGTGCAGACATTCGGAGCTCAGGGAGCTGGCCACGTTCCTGGGCCGTGCAGACCCGTGGTACGAGAGCACTGTCAACACGCTGTGCCCGGCCATCCACAAGCTGGCAGAGATGGTAGGGGGAGAGGCTGCGGGGTGAGGAGGGAGGCAGGTGGGAGGGGGCTGTTTTCAACTCCCACCCTTGACTCTCGATCTCAGGAGTCTGCCCCAGGGGTCCCCCCAGGGTGGGATGGGGCTGGAAGGGAACACAGGAGAGGAGCCCTAAACAGGGCAGAAACCCCCTCGGAGCTCCTAGCAAGCACCTGCTGTGGGTAGGACACTGGGAAAAAGATGAACTGAGTGAAGCCTTCTTCCATCAGCCTGGAGGCCAATTTTGGGCCAATTTTGTGTCAATTTTGTTTCTTCTTTTCTGAGCTTCCCGAGATGGTTTCTCTGTATGACTGCATGCTCCCACATGCCAGACGCTGTTGCGAGCACTATCGCTCTGCAGCCCTGCCAAGCCGACACTCCTGTTGGCAGGTGCTACTGTGGCCACGTCCCCATTGTGACAGGCCGAGGCCCTGGGACACAAAGAAATTAGGTGACTTTGTCCTAATTTGGCAAAAGGAGAGGTGGAGTCCCACTTGGAACCAGACAGCTTGAGGCCAGAGCAGGTCCTCTTGACCACAAACCATGCCCTCACCTCCAACCCTCCTGGGCGGTAGGGACGATGCTCCCATCCTTTACTGACTTGAAAAAGCCTTCATCTAGTAAGAGAATCTTTTTTTTTTAAAGATTTTATTTATTCATGAGAGACAGAGAGAGAGAGAGGCGCAGAGACACAGGCAGAGGGAGAAGCAGGCTCCATGCAGGGAGCCTGACGTGGGACTCGATCCCAGGTCCCCAGGATCACACCCTGTGCTATAAGGCGGCGCTAAATCGCTGAGCCATGGGGCTGCCCGAGAATCTTTTTTTTATTATTATTATTTCGAGTAAATTCTGCTCCCAACGTGGGACTCAAACTCCCCACCCTGAGATTGAGTCAGCCAGGCAGGCACCCCTGATATTAAGAGACTCTTCACCATTTTGGGTGTTGGAGACATTTTTTTTCACCACTTTACTCATTTGTCAATTTCGTCAGTAGTGGTTTTTTTTTGTTGTTGTTGTTGTTTTTTTTTTTTTTTTTTGACTTACGGAAGCTTGATAATTTTATGTAGTTATACACGGAACTTTTATCCTTTGTGATGCCTTCCTGCTCAGGAAGGTCTTCTCATTGCTAATTAAATTATATCCTAGATTGAAAAAATATATGCTGATCACCTCCTGTACCTTCTAATGTCTCCATTTTTACATTTAAATAACCTGCCTGTGAGATCAATTTCAGGGTTTAGTGGGAAGCATGCAAATTTCTTTTTTTTCCCCAAATGTTTAGCCAGTTGTCATAAAGCTATTTATTGCCTAAGCCATCTTGCCCCGTCAGTCTGAAATGCCACTTTTATCATCTACTAAATTTTTACAGATGCCTGAGTTTATTTCAGGATGCTTATGCTTTCTCATTGATCCATTCATTTCCGGCCCCATTAGCACTTTTGCATTTTAATAGTTGGCAGGGTAAGCATACACCCCGTTACTTGGCTTCTTGTAAATGTTTCAGACTATGTTTGTGTTTGTTTCCAGATAAATATTAGAAATTTTCTCAGGTTTTTTTTTTTTTAATTTAAGCTCTCTCCTTGGGATTTTGATTGAAATTTGGAGGAGAGTCAGCCTTTTTTTTTTTTAAGATTTTATTTATTTTATTCATGAGAGAGAGAGAGAGAGGCAGAGACACAGGCAGAGGGAGAAGCAGGCTCCATGCAGGGAGCCCAATGTGTGACTCAATCCCAGGACCCCGGGGTCATGACCTAAACTGAAGCCAGACGTTCAACCACGGAGCCACCCAGATGTCCTGAGAGCCAGCCTCTTTTAGCGTGTTAAGCTGCCCTCTCTGGGAGCACAGTGTTTATTTTCATGTAGGGAAGTCTTCTTATGTATCTCTCAGGATAGCTGTGCACTGCCATCATGGTGCTTTTACCCATTTCTGGCTAAATTTCCTCCTTATGTTTCATAGTTTTTTTCTTCCTATTGTGAATGGTGTCTCTCTCCCCTTATATCTGGGCAGCAGGTCCTCCTCTATAAAAGGAACCTCTTGGGGTACCTGGGTGGCTCAGTTGATTGAGCATCTCTGTTTGGCTCAGATTATGAGTCCTGAGATTGAATTCTGTATCAGACTCCCTGCCCAGCAGGGTATCCGCTTCTCCCTCTCCCTCTGCCTGCCACTCTGCCTACTTGTGCTTGCTCACTCGTACTCTCTTTCTCTCAAATAAATAAAAATCTTTTTTTTTTTTAAAAAAAGGGGGATCCTCTTGATTTTAGGTACCTTATTTCTAACTTGACACTCTACTGTGATCTTCATGTTGTTTTATCACCTGATGGATTGGGGTGCTTTCTTGCACCTTCTAATAGACGTGGGGGGAGGCCTGTTTTCCAAATGATTGCTTACCCAGAAAATGTCTTTGTGTGTAGACACAGAAAACTGTTTAGCTGGGTATTAAAATACCTTTTCTCAAAACATGGAGGCTATTAGAGGAAGAATGTCTGGTGCAGGTCTCAGTTGTGCTCTTTTGTCCCTACTTTTCTCCTTGGTCTCCCTCCCCTTATCATTAACAATTTATACAGCCCCTACACTAACTCTGAAAGTGGTTTCCACATGAAGAGACTGGAAACACTGTGAGCAAGGACAGTACTGTTGGAGTTCCTTCCTTCCTCAGGGTGCCCTTTCTGAAGGGAACTATATGTCAATAGACCAGACAGGAGGGTCAGAGGAGATGTTATAGGATCAGGTAGAAGTTGGATGAGATAAACTCTAGTGCTTCCCAACTCTGGTAAATATGTAAACATTCTAGTTCTTTTTTTTTTTTTTTTTTTTTTTTAGATTTTATTTGGGACACCTGGGTGGCTCAGTGATTAAGAGTCTGCCTTTGGCTCAGGGCATGATACTGGAGTCCCGGGATCGAGTCCCACATCAGGCTTCCTGCATGGAACCTGCGTCTCCTTCTGTCTATGTCTCTGCCTCTCTCTGTGTGTCTCTCATGAATAAATAAATAAAATCTTTTTTAAAAAAATAAAATAAAAATAAATTTAAAAAAAAGATCTTCAAGAGGGAGAAGCAGGCTCCCTATGGGGAGCCCAATGGGGGACTTGACTCCAGGACCCTGGGATCATGCCCTGACCCAAAGGCAGATGCTCAACCACTGAGCCACCCAGGTGCCCCACATTCTATTTAAAAGGAAAAAAAAAACTGGTTTTGCTTTATAATCATATATGGTTCTGCTTTATAATCATAGGAGGAAAGCCTATAAGACATGGCACTAGTGCTTTCCTAATAACTCTTAAATGTTAATCTATTGATATATCCAAATACCCCCACAAGAACTGAAGGAGGCAACAGACCACCTCACTTCTCATGTCCAAGGTCACCTGGCCAGTGAGTGGCTGGAACGCAGCCCAGACTCTGTGATCATGGGCTATATCTCAAGCAGCTTGTCTACCCCAAGTACCCTACTCAGTGTGTGCCACCTAGAGCCACTCCGTGTGTCTTTCTGCAAGTGGAATGAATCGGAGGCCCTGGGGAATGAGGACTCTGGACAGGTGTATCTGGATCAGGAGGGGAAATCGGGTAGAAGGAAAGGCCTGGAGTGTGTTGAGGGACCAGTTGGGTTAGTGCCTCATAGAGGGTACATGGAAGTATTGTGGTTGGTGTTACCATAAAATTAGCACCTCCCACAGTAGCATAGAGACTGGTGGCTGAAGACACTCTCTGCCCTCTCACAGCCCCCTTCCCTGGACACATCCCGGACGGTGGACCCCTTCATCCTGGATGTCATCACCTACTATGTTCGCATGGGCACCCAACCCATCTATTTCCAGATCTACACAGTCAAGGTAAGTGTCCCCCAACCCAGGACTCCATGGGTAGTGTACCAGCCTGATGGACCCCAAGACCCCACCCCCTAAACACCCTGGCTCAGGGGAAATGCAGCTTACCAGGGTACAAATGGCCGATTCACCAGACTTGGCTGTTAACTCCATCTTCCCAGTCTCTGGATGAATCGGAGAATTATCAGTTTCAATGACCTCCAGTACAAGCGGAAGCAGATCTTCTTCCCGTGGAGGGATGCGTTAGGCCTTGACCCCGTGGGGGGCTGGGGACAGGCAGCTGTGAATGTTATCACCGGGAATTGCTTTCCCTCGGAAATCCTAAATGCTCGCTTTCTAGTCTCTGATCACAAACTCTCATCCCTGCAAGACCTTCTCCCCTTCTCACCCAGGACCTACCTCCTTAGGGAGATGGGCAGATTCTCAGGTCCACCTGCCCCTGTCCGTACTCCATCCCAACCCTGGCCTCCTGGTCCCTCCATCTCCCTTCTCAGCAAAACCCAAGCCCAAGGGGCGCTGCAGTGTGCCTCACCTCTCGCTCAGCTCGGGCTCCTGAGCACCACCTGGGAAAGCAATCTGGACACAGACGTCTCAGTGGTATTTGGCCTCAGCTGGGCCCATGAATGCCGCCTTCCCGGCAGACTCCCTCTTCCCCTGCAGCCATGGCTGTCACCTCCTTCCCTGCTTTTCTCACGCCCTTCACTTTCAGTGAGTGACTTTGCCACCTGTTCCTCTGGGGAGAACGGAAACCATGAGATGTCCCCAAACCCACTGTCCACACCTATCAGTGCATGCACAGCATCACTAGCAGATGCAGGGCGCCTCCAGCTCGGGCAAAACCTCATCATCGTGCCCTTCCCCCCAGCCAGCTCCTCTCCTTGGCCCTCCCCGTTGTTCTGTCCCTGTCACCAAAAATGCACAGAACAACTTCTGGAGCCTGCGAGGTTTCCGTTCATTTTCCTGCTAAGCGTGTTGCCTAAGTGACAGGGCCTGGAAGGGAGAGCCTGAGCATGAGGCGTTTCTCAGACTTTGTCTCCATCTTTTTTTTTTTTCTTTAAAACTATTTATTCATGAGAGACACAGGGAGAGAGGCAGAGACACAGAGGAGAAGAGAGGGAGAGGCAGGCTCCCTGTGGGGAGCCCAATACCGGACTCGATCCCAGGACAGGTCACGCCCTGAGCCGAAGGCAGATGCTCTACCCCTGAGCCACCCAGGTGTCCCCTCTGCTATTCTTAATTCAGAGTGATCCTTGTGCATCTGCTGGGAGGTCGGGAGCGAGTGGGAGGGAGGGGGATGTGGCCTGCACAGCGTTCCTGTTTTTCCGATGTCTGTGACTGGGGCATGGTCTGCTGTCCTGGGCAGCCAATTTTCTTCTGTGATCCCTGTTCTCAAAGACCTGTGGCCCTTTCTCCCCATGGTGCCCACATCTGTCCACACCTGTGCTGTGCTGCAGGGCTGTGCTGCAGGGCTCCCCTCAGAGGCCTGCCCTGTGCCCCCCCCCCCCAGATTTCTGGGCAAACCCTCCCCCAGAGCAGCCCAGCTCCCCCTGGCCCTCCCTCCCAGCTGGCCTGGCTGTGCAAGTCAGGACAGTGCTCCCCCCTCTGACCTTGCCCGGCTCACCCTCACCCTCTGTGAATGGTATGTCCCCCTTCTGCCCTCCCCATCAAACCATAGCGGTTACAGGCAGTTTGGGCTTCAAAACCAGCTTCTTCCCCGATTTATAAACATGTCACATTGCTGGGGACACGTGGACAGTAGGTCCAGGAATCACTGGATGCGGCTTGGGATGTAGCGCTAGCAGGATGGGGCGGGATGGGGGCACCCCGGGTCCTGCTTCTGGACACTATTCAACCATTGACTCCCTGGGGCTCTGGGGGATGAGGGCGAGCGGCCCGAGGCAGAGCTGGCCTCCTCCATGACCTCCTCCCCTCCAGATCTTCAGGGACCTGAGCCAAGACCCTGCAGAGGATATCTTCCTCACTGAGCTGAACGTGAAGATCCAGGACTCCAAACTCCCCAAAGGTGAGCATCTGTTTCTCCTTTCCCAGAGCTTGCTGACTCATCTTCCCCGCCAGGCCCTGTTTTCCAGGGTCTTAAAGGGGGACCTTGGCTCCTCCAAGCCTGCCAAGACTGGAATCCTTGAGATGCCTCCTTTCCATCCAGAGGGAGATGCTGTCAAAAATTCTGCAGCCTAGGGGAGGCTGGGTGGCTCAGCGGTTCAGCATCTGCCTTCAGCTCAGGGCATGATCCTGGGGTCCTGGGATCAAGTTCCGCATCGGGCTCCCCGCAGAGAGCCTGCTTCTCCCTCTGCCTATGTCTCTGCCTCTCTCTCTTTCTTTCTCTCTCTCATGAATAAAAATCTTAAAAAAAAAATCTGCAGCTTAGTTTGGCCTTGGTGAGGTGGGGAGCAGGGTGTCACCCACCCTCAGCCTCTCCTCCCCTTGTCCCTCAGATGGCTTTTCACCCAGGAGGAGGGGTGTGGCTGAGGGCCCGGGGGCCGAGCTCTCCATCTGCTACCAGAAGGTGAGTGGCCATGGGTGTGCTCAGAGGAGGTTGGGAGGTCCGGCGGGGTGGAAGCCAGTGTCAGGGACGTGCAGGCAGGGAACACACAGAACCAGAAGAACTGTCAAGCTCTCTCCTTGAAGCTGCCTCCACGCCTCTCCCAGCCTTTGAAGGGTTTGCAGGGATGGGTGGATGACAGTTGGCCTTGCGTGCAGCCAAGGAGGCCGTCTGATTTAAGGAACAAAGGGGCTGTCCTATCACTGAAAAATACCCTCCTCCCTAGCTGACCGTATCATCAGAAACATGTTCCCTTGGGTCTGGGAGGCTGAATGTACCCCCTGGGGTCAAAAGTGCTGTAAGCCTCTCTCTGCCAGCCCTTTCTTGGACACTAGTGACACAGACAAGAATCTCAGTCAGGGCAGGGGCAGGAAGCAGGACTGTTGACATGAGGAGGGACAGGGCTCTTCTGGGGACCCCCACCTGTTCCCACATTCCCCATCCCCAGGCCCTGCTCAGCCACCGGGCTCAAGAGGTCACCAGTTCCGTGCGGGCCACTGGGCTGGTCCTGAAAGCCCTTCCAGCCAGTGACACTGAAGGTGAGGAGTGGAGAAAGCAGAGAGAGAGAGAGAGAGAGAGAGAGAAGGCACAAGAAGGAGGGAAGAGTGAGGAAGAGGACAGAGGGTCGAGTGACCACAAATGGGGTGAGCCCAGGGAATCGGGCCTCTTGCCCATCCCTGAGGTCACAAGAACGTGGCTGAGCACCTGCTGGTGCTGGGCATGGGGTACCTGAGTGAAGCAGGGTCCCTACCCTCAGGCTGCTCACCAGTGGGGAACATGCTGGGGCATGGCCTCTGGGCGTGCCCTGTAGCCTGAGGAGACACGGACCGGAAGGTAGAGGGACCCTGTGGATGGGGGTGCAGGAGGGGGATGCCCTCCTTCCTCTGTTGGGCCTGCAGGGTGACTTGTGTTTGGTCTGGAAATGAGATGTTGTATTTTGGATGATGCTCCAATGGAGCAGATACTCCCCAATCACAAAGGAACACCACCGGTCTAAGTTATCTGCTTCTGGCCAATTACCTCATTACAGCCATACAGTGGATGATAAGATCGTTTGATTCATTCCCTAAATCTAAAGTGGGGGTGGGACGCCTGGGGGGCTCAGGGGTTGAGTGCGTGATCTCAAGGTCCTGGGATCAAGTCCCGCATCGGGCTCCCCTCAGGGAGCCTGCTTCTCCCTCTGCCTGTGTGTCTGCCTCTCTCTCTGTGTCTCTCATGAATAAATCAATAAAATCTTTTAAAAAAAAGTCTAAAGCAGGGCTGATAAGACATTCCCGTTGATATGCATATCGCCAATTCTAAATATGAGCTTTTGGGTTAGCCCCCGGGTCTTCTGGAACGATGGAAAGTTCAGTAAGCTGGGTTACATCACTTGAACACCTTGACCAGAGGCCAGGCAACGTTCTACACCAAACACATCAACTCTGATTCCTAAAAGATCGGCATTGTTAGCGTCAGCAGCTTTGTACTGGAGAGGTGAACCGAAGCCAGAGAAGTGACCACCCAAGGTCACGTCCATGAGGAAGAGGCAGAGCAGGGATGCGCACCCAGGAAGCCCAGTCCTGGCTTCTAGGCGAGTTGAATTTGGAAGCGATGGGGACCTCCTCAGCTGGTGTGTCTTTGACGCCGTTGAGGGAGACATGTGACACTGGCGATTGCTCTTACCCAAGAGGTGGTCAGAGTGGGTCAAGAGCATTGATTCAAGGTCCCCAGATGGGCCGGCTTGGAGGGCCAGCTTTGCCGTTTACCATCTGTGTGACCTTGGGCAAGTCACTTGCGACCCACCTCTTTACCTGTTCTTTCACTTCTAAAGTGAAGATAAGGTCCTCACTTATGTATGTAAACTAGCACGTTAACTCTGATTATTAGATTTCTTTAAAAAAGAAAAAGATTTTATTTATTTATTCATGAGAGAGGGAGAGGCAGAGGGAGAAGCAGGCTCCCTGCAGGGAGCCCGATGCGGGACTCGATCCCAGGACCCCAGGATCATGCCCTGAGACGAAGGCAGATGCTCCACCGCTGAGCTACCCGGGCACCCCTAATTGTTAGATTTCTATTTCTTTTACCAGACTCCCCTGGCCCCCACTCAACTAGCGTTCCTCTCCTTGCCAGCATGCCCAGGGGCTTCAGGGAGGTTCCATAGCACCTTCTTGCACTGAGGAGGGCTGCAGGAGCAGGTGCAGAAAGGCACTGGGCTTGGCAGTGGCTGCCAAGCCTGAGGATGCAGAAACATCGTGGGTTCCACAGGGAAAGAGGAGGGATGTTCGGGACCTGCACCCAGATGCCATCAGAAAGGGGGGGTTGGGCAGGGTGCAGGAGGGGCCAGGACAGCTTCGGAGAGGCCCCTCACAGCCACTCCCCACCCGCCTCATTCCTCCCAGTTTCAGGGCCCACCCACACCCCACCATCTGCTGCTCCCGTCACAGACCACACGTGCCTGAATGTCAGCGTGACGGAGGTCGTCAAGTCCTCCAACTTGGCGGGAAGATCCTTCTCTGTAAGTACTGGGGTAGAATGGAATGGTCTGAGAGGGCAGGGGGCCGGGGGCGTTCAGAGGGGTGGGGGTGTTCAGAGGGGTGGGGGTGTTCAGAGAAGGGGACGTGACTTCTGAGCCTTTGCTGTTGCAGTGGGTCCTCCTACCGAAAGCATCTGCTCTCCCCGGGTCTGTGAGGCGCATCCCTCACACACACTGAGAGCCAAGGCCCTGCCCTCCACCTGCTGGCCACCAAAGCACCCACGACATGCCCAAAAACAGAAACTGCGTGTGCGTTCTGGCTTCCCCCACACAACCCAGCGGCCAGACTCCCACACAACAAACCTTTGATCACATGGAACCAGCTCTTTTAACCTCACGGCCCTACCACTGCCCTTTGCCGATATCGATACTCATTGATTTCAATTCCCTTATTGTAGACCCAGGGCCCACCCATAGGCTCCCTATCTGATGGCCTCTCTGGACCTCATTTCCCTACTCAGCTGGATGTGGACCCCAGGATTACACATGAACCCTGCTCCAGATGCCCTACACCCCTACACCCACCAGGTAGACACTTGCTTTGGATCAAGCTGCCTACTCAGCCTGTGTCCTCAGGTGGCTGAGTGCTTCTGGAATAAATCCTAGTCCCCGGGTGCCAACACCTGACCTCCCACCTCAACAGGACCCTTGGGATCACTCGACCCTCTTCCTTTGCACCTCTTCTGGGCTCTGCTTCATCTATTTTAGTGTCTTTTCTCCAGTGTGGACCTTCTCTACCGCTCCTCCCTCGTAGCCTGGAAACATGCTTGGGTCTTTTCCATCTGAGAAGGAAAATCTCTACTGTGACCTGCCATCTCTTTAGCCACCACTGTACTCCTTCCCTTGCCAGTCAAGAGTCTTGAGAGATAGCCCCAGATGAGTTTCCAGTCCCTTACCAAACACTGTCCTGCCCACTGCCCTCTGCGTATGGCCCACCCCACTGTGACAGTCACCTCCATGTCACTAAGACCACTCACCTTCCACTCCTTAATGTTTCTTAATCTTCCCCTTTATTTTTTTTAATTTATTTATTCATGAGAGACACAGAGAGGCAGAGACACAGCAGAGGGAGAAGCAGGTTCCCTGCGGGGAGCCCGATGTGGAACTCGATCCCAGGACCCCAGGATCACGCCCTGAGCTGAAGGCAGATGCCCAACCACTGAGCCACCCAGGTGTCCCTGTCTTCCCCATTAAAAATAATATTTTAACCTATAAACAAAACTTGAGTGATTTGGGGAAAATGCAGAAAAAAAAACCCCCACAAAGAAGTAAAACCACTTCTAGTCCCATTTCGTAGAGAAGATGACTATCATCCTATCAAGGTGCAAACATCCAGCGTCTTTTCTGTGTATCTGTCCATAATTGATAGGTACACATGCACACGGGTGCTTAGTGACTTGTACGTCTCCTCGACTGTGAGCAACTTCCTGTTGGGGTTTTATCTATGAGAAATCTGGGTCGAAACTTGACTTTCTAGAGAAATTCTGTATTTGCCTTTGCCACGGTCCCCCGGGACATTGCGAACCCAGGACTGTATTTCAAGTTAACTTCTAGGCTCAGAAATTCCCAGACCCTGCAGAAGGTGAACACATACACCCCGGATCCACCCACAGGCAGACTTGTGGCTCGGAATTCCCAGGGGAGACTCATCTTCCTCACCCAAAAGCACAAAAGACTTCTAATTGAGTCTTTTGCTGTAAGTGTAGCCCTCAAGAGTCTTTGAAGGGGACCTCAGTTTCCAATCCCTCGGGCCTGTCCCATGGTCCCCATGGCCGTTGAAACCCAAGCTCCTTGATTCCTGACATCACCCAAGGACCCCAGGATGACCAAAGCACCTGACCCACACGACTTCAACTTTAGAATTTATATGGCCTTGTGTTTACCACCCCATACATGCTCAATTTTTATTTATATTATTTATTATTTTTTTATAAATTTATTTTTTATTGGTGTTCAACTTGCCAACATATAGAATAACACCCAGTGCTCATCCCATCAAGTGCCCCCCTCAGTGCCCATCACCCAGTCACCCCCATCCCCGCCCACCTCCCTTTCTACAACCCCTGGTTCATTTCCCAGAGTTAGGAGTCTCTCATGTTCTGCCTCCGTTTCTGATATTTCCCACTCATTTTTTCTCCTTTTTAAATTTCCTGTGACAATGAAAGAGGACATGTATGGTTTCTGTCTACAGAATACAAAATGAGGTCCTTGATTATTAGGTCAAATACATCGTATTGCTTTAATCAGCAATGTGAAAATTTTTGTCCCCTTCATCTATCCGAAATAAGAAAGGTTTGCCAACATTCTTGGGATGGCTTTTGATTTTGTCAATTCGATCTCAGTTCATTTAAATCTGAATGTTCGAGTTTCTGACGCTGCTGCTGTGAAATATGCCTGCATTTGCCCAGTCTTGGTATAAGACTGTTCCTTTTTCTCCCTTTCTATGAGTTTCTGGTGCTTCCTTTCATAGAAGGTTCTGGACTATCACAAACATATGCCTTGATGGAATCTTTTTCATTCATTTTTGTGGATCTTTAAAGGAGACTCGTATTTTTTGGTTCTAATCTATTTTCTAATAGAGTTTTAAAAATTATTCCCTTCCTCTGTTTGCTATTTCTTTCCGGAGCGACAGTCAGTCAGATCTTAGGCCTCCTACGGGGATACACTTATTTTCTCATCTTTTCTGTCTCGTGATCCTTCTCTTTCTTTTCTTCAAGTTTTAAGAATTTTCTTCAAATTCATTTTCAAGAATTCTTTCTTTTCTGATTTTTTTTAAGATTTTACTTTTAAGTAATCTCTACACCCAATGTGGGGTTCAAACTCACATCCCAAGACCAAGAGTCACATGCTCTACCGATTGAGCCACCCAGGTGGCGCCCCTTTGGTTATTCACTTTTAATAGCATTCTATTCTTGTGTCACTGATGTAATATCTTCTCTCTCTGAAGAGGTTAATTATGGTTTATTCAAAAGTTTCTTCCACCTTGTATCTGTTTCCTGCAAAGTCCTGTTTTCTGTTTGTTTGGGTCTCTCGCCTTTCTTATCTTTATAATTATTTTTTTTAAGATTTTATTCATTTATTCATGAGAGACACACACCAAGAGAGAGGCAGAGACATAGGCAGAGGGAGAGGGAGAAGCAGGCTCCATGCAGGGAGCCCGATGAGGGACCCGATCCCGGGACTCCAGGATCACGCCCCGGGCCGAAGGCAGGCACCAAACTACTGAGCCACCCAGAGATCCCCTATAATTATTATTTTAAAGTTAGAGGCTATCTTCAAATATCTGGCAATACTTGGCTGATGTTTAAATTGGAGAATGGGAGAGACACCTGGGTGGCTCAGTGGTTTAGCGCCTGCCTTCAGCCCAGGGCATGATCCTGGAGTCCAGGAATGGAGTCCCATATTGGGCTCCCCGCAGGGAGCCTATGTCTCTGTCTCTCTCTCTCTGTGTCTCTCATGAATAAATAAATAAATAATCTTAAAAAAATAAAAATAAATTGGAGAATGGGGCACTAAAAAGCTGAATCAATGATGGGCAGTCAGGAGGCCACAGACCTTCCCATGGGGAAACCCAAATGTCCATATGCTCAAGTCTCATTGGTAGGACAGTCTTGTTTTTCCAAGAGAGGGTCCTTTAGGCTCCTGCCTTGGGGACTTCGGGGCATAGGCCTGCTGGTGCCTATATACTCTGGAGCTGGGCATTCACCATTCAGTGAGTTCATGTAACCCACCTGCATGGACAGCTTTCACTCCGTCCTCCAATTGTGCTGCCCCCAAGTCCAGGATCTCTCTGGTCCATCTTCTTTGATGCCTGGGGCAGGGGTAGGGCTCATTGCTTGGCTGCTTGGGCTGGAAGTGGGAACCTAAAGCCATCTAACCATTCCTTGTAAAACTTCTAGTCAATTCCCTTTATTCAGGCTCCATTTTATCCCCACTACCTGAGGAACCTGTGGCCTCCAGGTCAGAATCCTTTCCAGAGCTTTAATCCTTATGTTTGACCTTCCTCGTTCTGTCCTCACATATCGTCCTTTAGGGCTTTGGGTGTCTTCTAGTTTCATGAAAGATGCACCTCCTTGTTTTTAGGCAAATTATAAGAGGAAAGGAACGATAAAATATATGCTCTGCCATTTTGAAATAAAAAATCCTCATCCCTTTATTTTTAAAACACTTTTATTTTAGTTATGCCTCTTGTTAAAAGTTGGATTTTGGTATAGTTGGATTTTGTTCTCAGTCTGAAAGTCTGTGTTTTTTAACGAAGGAGAATTTAATCCACAGACACTAACTTGACGTGCTACTCAATCTTACTCTGCCGTCTTATGTTGTGTTTTCTGATTTTTGTAATGTTTTGCTGTTTTGGCGGGGGGGGGAGTGGGGCTTACATTTTGTTTGCTTATTTTTCCCCTGACTGACAATTTGCAAGCTGTATATGCTACTTTTTGTATAGTAGTTACCTTTATTTTATTTTTTTAAGATTTTATTTATTTATTCATAAGAGAGAGAGAGAGAGAGGCAAAGACACAGGCAGAGGGAGAAGCAGGTTCCATGCAAGGAGCCTGATGTGGGACTCGATCCTGGGTCTCCAGGATCACACCCTGGGCTGAAGACAGAGCTAAACTGCTGAGCCACCTGGGCTGCCCTAGTAGTTACCTTTAAATTGAAGATTATATATATATATATATATATATATATATATATATATATATATATATATAAAGTCCCACTTAAGTGTTGATATGCTAATACAGCTGGCTTGCAACACTGTCATGGACAATTTCCTTCTTTTTCTATTCCTTCGATCAGTTTTTTTTAGATTTATTTATTTATATTATATATATAGAGAGGGTGTGTGCAAGCAGGGGGAGGGGCAGAAGGAAAGAAAAAAAAATCTTAAGCAGACTCCACGCTCAGTATGGAGCCCAATGTAGGGCCTGAGATCATGACCTGAGCCAAAACCTAGAGTCTGATGCTCAGCCAACTGAGCCACCCAGGCGCCCCATCCTTTGACCAGTTTTTAATGAGTTCCACCACTAGGACTGATGCTCTGTTCTTCAAGTCTTTAAATTCTTTAAATCTGTGATTTCAGAGATACCACTTTCTCAAAGTTCTGTATATCTGAATTGTGACTTTTTGGCCTCTTTCCTTGGGCTCTTTTCCCTAAACCAGTTCCTTAAATGGCTGCTGTTCTCAACTTCCATCCATGGCCCACTTCTTTTCCCAGTCCCCGGAATACCTAACCCGTATATGTGGTTTGAGTCCAACATGTTAAGAATACCCAAATCCATATCTCCTGCTCTCATAGTCACCCCCTGAATTTGACTCTGCATTCAACTCTGCACGGACCAGATGTCCCATAACACCCCAAATTCAAGAGATTCAAAACCAAAGCCAGTACTTTCAAATTGTTAAGAGCTCTCCAGAACCAGGCTGAGATTGCCAGGGTTCAAAGCTTGGCTCTGCCATTTATGAGCTCTGTGACTTCAGGCAAGTTAATTAAGCTGTCTGTGCCTCGGTCTCATCATCTGTAAATGGGGGATGATAGTAATAGTAGTGACCTTACCCCATTGTTTGGGGATGACATGATTGTCCCACGCAAAGCTCTCAGAAGAGCATGTGGCCAAGTAAGAGCTGTCTATGTGCTAACAATTTTTATTTCATCCCCTTCCTGCTGTGGCTAACCTCTCACTTAATGGGACCATCATTAACCAGTCACCTCTGCCAGAATTTGGGGAGCCCCCTCAGATGCCTCCTCTTCCTCACTTCCCTGTGTTCTCAAACCTCTCCCTTCCCCCCATTCCCTCCCTCCTGAGCCACCTAGGTTGACAAACCACCCCAATCTGCCCAGGACTAAGGACTGCTTCCCTGGGGGCATGGGACATCCCAGGCAAATCAGGACAGGTTGGCCACCCTTGGTCCAGACCTTCACCATCCCCTTTGCCTGGACAAACACAGTAGCCTCCTAGCTGGTCCTCCTTGATGCCACTGCAATGCTCCTCAGGCCCACCCTCTACATCTCTGTCCAAGTGATCTTTGTAAAATAAAATTCGGACATGTCTGTCTGTGCTTCAGACGCCTCTGTCATTTCCCATAACCATGGTAGAAGGGTGGAGAAACTCTTCAGCGTTGCATAATGCTGCTCCTCTTCTGCTTTATCCGCAACTCTGGCCACCAGAGCATATGGGAGTGTTCCAGCGGACACACCTCTGCCTTTGCTCAAGCGCTGTGCGTGGCCTAAAACCCATTCTTACCTTTCTCTTCCCCATCTTTTCATAGCGCATATTTGTACTTCAAATTGAAATTCAGGTGTCCTCTCCCCCGGGAGGCCCTCCCTGATGCTCTTCCCTGTTTTCCATACCCTTCTCTACCCACTCCACTCCACTCCTGGGTCGGCTAGGTGACCCCTTCGGTGCTGCCAGACAGCCCTGGGTCAGCTAGGTGACTCCCTCGGTGCTGCCAGACAGCCCTGGGGTAAGCTAGGTGACCCCCTCGGTGCTCCCAGACAGCCCAGGGAGCATGTGTAACACCAAGGATGGCATCATCTCTGTTCAGTGAGGAACCACAAGTGCCCTGGCCTCAGCCCTCGTCCTGGTCCTCCCCATTCTCCCTCAGTACTCAGAGCACTCAGCGTGCTGTCTCACCCACAGTCGATGCTCCCAGATGCTTTCTGAGTCTTCCAGACTGAGCCCACCCACCCCCCCAGGACCTCAGCCCTAACCCGAGTGCATCTTTTTCTGGGACAGCCCATCCTCTGTAGGAGAGCTGTGATGGGTTGAGGGGTCTCCTGTACTGAGCCAAAATCTGCCTTCCTAGTGGGCAGCTTTGTGCAGGCGCCTCAAGTTCTGAGGTGGCCCCCCTCACCCTCCTGCGTCTCTTCTTTCCAAGTCAGTTCCCTACAACCGTTTCCGTTTCCAATGACCTCTTTAAACAACCTGCTTCTGGGCTTTTGGGAAATCTAAACTTATCACCCCATCGAGTTCCCTTTTACCCCTGCCCTATGGAGGCATAATTCCACAAGCTGTTCTTTGCCCTGGGCACCCAGGCTGGTCAGTGGGTGCTCTGCACAAATGGATGGGTGATAAACACAGGGTGGCAGGGGAGGTTCGTGGTGAGCTAGAGGGAAGGAATTCTGCGCTTGGAGAACAGCAGGGCAAGGGCGCAGTGTCTGGCTTCATGAGTCTAAGAGGGCAGCAACGCTACTGGCCAGACTGGAAGACTGAGGTAGGAAAGTGGTGGCAAATGAGGCAGGAATGGTAGCGCTGGGGCTTTGGGGCAGGGGAGGCAGTGAGCTGTGAGGAGCAGCACTTTGCTCAGCCCCTGAGGAGCTGAGACTGACACCCTTTGCAAATTCGGCATCTGGCCCGCCCAGTTGACCCCAGGGCTGCAGCTATAGAGTGAAATCCAAGAGTCCTGAGGTCCTATGAGGCCAAAGCCAGGCTGGTCTGCGTGTGTCCAGGCATGCAGACCACAAAAGGGAAACCAAGACATCTAGGAGGTGAAAGGAGACCCCGTAGACTGGCTACCAGGAGGGCAGGATCGTGGAAGCCTGGATCCTGCTGGGAGTCACCTAGAGCTGCCTGATGTGGAGAAAGAGCACTGTATTGGGAGACAGGGGGCTGGATCCCATTCCCTGAAAGCTCTAGAAGGTCACACAGTCAATCCTTCCAGACTTCATCTTCTCCTCTGTGGGAACCTTGAGTTTCCTTTGCCAGCTGGGGTCAATTCAGGTGGGGTTCCCTCAGCTATCATAATGCCTCTGGCTTTCCCCACTCCCTGGCCCACACAGGACTTCAGCCTCCCTGCGGTCTCTCCAGGTACTTCTGGAAGGTCACAAACCTCTCTCTCTTTGTGTTACCCTCTGTCCTGGCAAGGCTTCTGCCTTTGCTCACAACCCACCTGTTCCGACTCCTATGAGTCTATAGATAGAGTGATGGCAAGGGGGGCCTTGGGCTGGGAGACAGAGCAGTAGAAGAACCCACAGTGGGGTCCCCATCCCCTCTGACAACCAAAGCTGCTACTACTCATGCTTGGATCCTTCTCCCAAAACTATAATTACAAAGAAGAACAATAACAACCGGCTGACAGTAACACAGGCTTACCGTGTCCCCAGCACTTGGTATATACTCTCCCTTTTAATCCTCACAAAACAATCCTACAGGGTAATCACTGTCACTACCAGGGAAGAAATGAAAGCACAGAGAGATTAAGAAATACGTCCCAGGTCACACACCCAGGCAGAGCTGAGACTGGAACCCAGGAAATCTGGCTGTAAAGTCTCTCTCTCTCTTAAATAAGTAAATCTTTTTTTTTTTTTTTTTTTAATGCCCTTACCTGGCCTCAACTCCAGACCACTTAAAGGAAAATCTCTAAATTTTACATTTTGGAAAGGTGATTCTTATGAGCAGCCAGTGTTTGAGAATTCTTGAACGAGATGAACCCTACAGGCTCAGAAGGTTGTGGGAGGTGAACCACCCAAAGCCACCGTCTGCTTGCAGGGTGGGCTGGCCATCCAGAAAGGCCCTCTGAAGGCCCCACCTGTGTCTGGCCCCTAAGTGATTCCATGACACAGACACAGGCCCAGTCTGCATCATGAGGGCAGATGGCTGCTTCCCAGGGAAATAATTTTGCATGTAATCCAACTCTGAGAACAGTAGTCAGAACTCATAAAACCCCTGAAATACCACCCCCCTCCAAATTGCACATATAATATATGCACCTGGTATACAGGGTTGCTGAAGCATCTTGATAACCTGGCAAGCACCAGCCAGGGCAGTGGTTTGAAATTTAAGACAACAGATTGGGAGAATTGCCTAGAGGAGGGCCCCAAGGGCTCCTGGCAGTTCTCGCTGCTCCGAATCACTTGCAGGAAGAGAGCTGGGGACCCCATGTGCTGAACTGAAGAAATATGCCACAGAGGGCAGGAGGTGTTGGCAAGGCCCTGTGTCATGAAGGTGACACTCACACAGGCTGTCTCTTTGTTGCAGACGGTGACCAATACCTTCCGGACAGCCACCATCCAGATCCAGAGCCAGGACCAGAGACTCCTGACGCTGCTACTGGACAAGGATGGTCGGCGCATGTTCAGGGACGTGGTCAGGTGAGGCCAGGCCTCACCACCCCTCTGGGCCCCATGGAGCCAGCCCTAACCATCTCCTGCCTCTAGCCTGGGACACCTGTCAGAGGCGGACCCTGGGGCCAGGCAGGTGTGGTCCACCTGGTGGCATGGACTTAGGCCACTGCCCTGTGACTTCCTGGGAACCCGGGGAGAAGAGCAAAGGAATGGGGCAGCTGATGCTATCAATGTTTCTGGAGATTTCCTCTACGTACACTCAGCCTGTGGCCTCAGCCACAGATCCAACCCCTCTGTGCTGGCACTGACCCCCTTGACACAGGCTGACCTTCTGTGGCAGCTGGGCCCCAATTAATGTGACCCTTAGTGGTCTCTCCAGGGGCAGGTGGTGTATCTGGGTCAGGAGGTGACACATGCAGGCCCACCTCCTGTCCCAGGGTTCTCCTGCCCCCCACCTGGGTGCTCCTTCCTTGTCCTGACCCCCCTCTCTGTGAGACCTCCTCCTGCGTACCCCATAATGGAGAGGCTGTCTTCACAATGCCTCAGCAGATCTGCCCCCAGAGATCTGTCTCCTGAGCTGGCCTCTCTCCACCACAGGTTCGAGGTTGCTCCCTGCCCAGAGCCATGTTCTGGGGCGCATAAGACCAAGGCACCGTGGCTCGGTTCACACCAGCTGGAGGTGGAAGGCACCAAAGCCAAGCCCAAGCCCCTTCTAATGCCCATCAACACATTCTCTGGCATCGTCCAATGAGCCCAAAGGGGCAGCAGAAGCGCTGAGTCCGAGAGCCCCAGACCAAGAGGAAGGATACACTACCCCACCGACCTCCAAACACTCACGCCAGCAGCTTGAACAAGGCCTGGCTGCCCTGGGTGGCTTCTGGCTGTGAGTAGGAGCCAGCAAGTGACCTGAGCAGAGGGAGCGTGGCCGTGGCAGGTGATGGAGCAGGGCCCATGCCCAGGCCTGAGGACGGTCCCTGCAAAGTTGCGCACATGCAGGACCCAGCTCCGTGCACAACTGTCCACACCTTCATTTATTTCTAGTTCACGCCTCTCCCACTCAAGCTCCCCATTCAGCCCTTAAAACGCAAGTGTGAGGTGCTATTTTGGCCCCAGGCGCCGTGGCCTGGGGGAAGCTGGGGAGCAGAGCAAGGGCAACTACACCTGTTCTCTCCTGAATCTGCTCCTTTCTCTCCCTCCAGCCACCGCCCACACCCTGCCTTCCCTGGCAGGTGTCTCTCTTGGATGAGAGGAAAATGTCAGATCTAATAAAGGCACACTAAAGCACTTTTGCTTTTATCTAATACCTAGCGACATTTGGGTTTTAATAGAGATCTGGGGCCATACTTGATCTAACCTAGTGAATCCTCTTTGGCCAGTTGAGAGTTCCCTGGAGTATTTATTGGCCTGTTCTGTCTGCTGGCCCACCCCATCTCCCCATTCAGGTTGACTTAGGGACCTCTGACCAGCTCTGTCCCAAAACAGAGAGAGATGGGGATGCAAAGTAGTTTCAGAGGAGCCAGATATTAAAGACATGAACATGCTTGGCTTTTGAGTTCCAAAACTTACATCCAGATGTAAAGTAGGGATGATCAGTGTGACACAGAACCATTTCCCTCACCCCTAGGACTAGGTGTGTGGGGTGGCTGGGAAAGCAGTAGAGGGAAGGGTCCCTGGGGATAGTGGGAGGAGGTGTGTGGAAAAATCCCTTGCAGGTTTGGGGATCCAAGAGTAGAGAGGTTGGCACTTTACTTTTGGCCTCATTGCCTGGGGGGTGGCGGCAAGTCTGTAAGACCCCCTATAAGAGGGGGTGCCTGGGGGTCTGGGCAGATGAGTTGAAGAGACACCTATATGGCAGTGTGCCTGCCCCTCAGTGGATATCAGCCCTGGACAGAGTGAAGATGGAGGAGAGGATGGATGTGAGATCCTCCACTGAAGTCACCCCCCACCACCACCACCACAGAACCCAGGGAGAGAGAGGGATTAGTGACAGTCCCTGGGAGACTGAAGTGATTTTAAACCGGAAATGACTAATGTCCTTGAATTTGAGTGAGTTTACTGGGAGGTGGCTAGATATTATTTTTTTCTGCTATTGACATGATATAAACTGATTCCTATCAATTTTGACATTCATGGTTACTAGGTTCTTTAAGCAAATATTGGCAGAGTTTACCAGTTGTTAGAATTAGGTGAGAACTCTGGGCTCCTCCTGCAATAATCTCTCTACCAGCTCACAATAAAAGCAAGTTGTAGACCAAATTTTGCTACACATTCAGACTGGCGTTGGCAAACTGCCATCCCCCTCAACCCCAACCCCAGCCACACTAGGTGCTCTGAGCCCACCTTGCATAAAAATGTCACTGAATCAGTGGCTGGACACTGGACCATTTGGGAGTAAAGTCTACACCATTTCAAAGGGCTGGATCACTGGGATCTCTAGGTTTTCTTTCTTTCTTTCTTTCTTTCTTTCTTTCTTTCTTTCTTTCTTTCTTTCTTCTTTCTTCTTTTTTTTTTTTAGATTGTATTTATTCATGAGAGACAGAGAGAGGCAGAGATACAGGCAGAGGGAGAAGTGGGCTCCCTCCAGGGAGCCTGATGCGGAACTCGATCCCAGGACCCCGGGATTATGACCTGAGCCGAAGGCAGACGTTCAACTGCTAAGCCACCCAGGCGTCCCTCTAGGTTCTTATAAGTGCTCACCCACACGGGAAAATCCTCCAACAAAACTGTAACCCATCCATGTGACACGAACACCACTAATTTCACCAGTGAAATTTCTCCAGTAGCTATCAGGCTCATTCATGAAACCAGTTTTGTTGATCTAAGATTGTTGATGTGCTGGTATTAAGCTGCCTCTGGAGTTCAGCTTTTGGAGTAAATGCCAGCTAACTGCCTCTCCAGTGTGTGCTCCCTGATTGTCGACAACTGAGCCCTCTCAGGTGTCGATTAAAACTGTCTGATACATACATCCTATCACAGGGGCTGGAGCTCCCGCCTGGGTGGGGTGCAGGGGGCCACTCCAAGACAGCCCTGGCTCTCAGCCCTCTGGGTGGGGATCGTCTCCGCTGAGGAACACTGTGTCCCCGCGGGAAGCCTGCTTCTCCCTCTGTCTGTGTCTCTGCCTCTGTCTCTGTGTCTCTCATGAATAAACTTTAAAAAAAATATATTCTAAAAATTAAAAATAAAGAAAGAAAATCGTGTCGCCAATAATGCCTCTTGCGGGGGGCGGGGGGCAGCTGGCATCCAAAGACACAGCTCTATGCCCTGGGGACAGAGAGCTGCCTTCCTGGAATTCTGCTTCGGATGGAGACAGACGAGAAAGGAGATGAACACGCGAAACAACCCCCTTGTGTGCTGGGTGGTGATGCTACGGGGAAAAATTAGGTGGGGGAAGGGGTGGGATTTGTCAGTGGGGGTGGACAGGGATGGTCCCTGAAGGTAACGGGGCGGTCCTTGACGGAGGAGGGGGCCCCTCTCACGAATCCCATTCCCGCTCCCCCCACGGCCCCCCAATTTTCCTTGCCCGAGGCAGCCCAGGGACCTAACTCAGGTGTGCGGGCGCCCCCGGGCCCTAGCCCGGAGCGCACCTCGCAGGCACAGGCCCCACCCGGGCGCACGCGCGCTCACGCCCCGGGGACAGCAGGTGCAGCCTCAGGTGCGCCGGCCCCGCCCCCCCCCCCCGCAGGTGCGGCTCCCGGGGGCGGGGCCACTTCCGGGCCGGCAGCCGGACGCGGCGGGGGTGGGGGGCGGGGGCGGCCGTTGGCCCGGAGACCGCGGTGCCGCCCGAGGCCGGAGGCGACGCCCCGCGCCCCGCGCCCCTCTCCGGGCCGTGGCCCCGCGGCCGCCCCGCGCCCTGCTCGGCCCCCGCCCGCCCGGGACTGACGGAGCCGGGCCGCCATGAGCGCCAACCCGCAGTGGGACATCAGCAGGGCGCTGGGGGTGGCCAGGCTGTTCCACCTGGTGTGCGGGGTCCGGGACGCCTGCGTGACCCCGTTCCTGACCCTCTACCTGAGGCAGCTGGGCCTGGCCGCGCCCTGGGTGGGCGTCCTGATGGGGGCCAAGCACCTGGTCGCCGCCTTCTGGGCCCCCTTCTGGGCCTTCCTGGCCAAAAGCTACCGGAAAAGGAGGGCGCTTCTGACGGGCTCGCTGCTCGGCTCGGCGGGGGCCAGCCTGTTGATGGCGCTGGTGCCGCCGCTGGACGAGGCTCCCGCAGACCCTTCCTGCAACGCCAGCCGCGGCGCCCGCCCCACCGCCCTGCCCCCGGCGGCCGCCTCGATCCCCCGGGCCGTGGGCGCCCCTGGCCTCAGGCGCGCACCTGCTGGAGGTGTCCGCGCACCGGCCGGCCGTCCACCCGGCTACGCCGTGGGCTCCGTGGAAGGAGCCGGGACCACAGCCCGAGTGGCTTCAGGGGTGAAGGACACCGCTAGGGCAGGTGCTTTTAAGGTGGGCAGGACCGCACCCCCTCTGCTTGCTGGGGGCACAGCCCCGGGAAGTCCAGCCAACTTGTCAGCAGCCAAGGGGGGCGCGGGGGCCCTGGGCCTCTCCTTGGAAGGGCTGCGGTGGACCTTCCTCCTCTCCCTGGGGTCCGTGGTGTTCTGGGAGCTGCTGACGGCCCCCCTGGAGCAGGTGGCCGACGACAGCCTCTACGAGTACCTGGATTTCGTGGATGCCACCGACCACTACGGAAGCCTGTGGATCTGGAGGCTGCTGGGCCTGTCGGCAGGTGTGTGCGGCATCGCAGCCGCCGTGGGACAGCTGGAATGCTTCGTGGCGACAAGTGGCCCACGGGGCGTGTTGCACTTCTACGGCTACTCGGTGGTCAGCACCCTGGCTTTACTGGTGAGCATTGCCTTTCCTGTCCCCATCTGCAGGCGACCGGAGCCCAGCTACAAAACCGTCAAGGCGCTGTCGCTGGTAGGAGGCGACCCCCGCCTCATTCTCCTCACCTTCACCGTGTTTCTCGTAGGAGCCGCCACCAGCGCGGTGCAGAACTTTCTGTTTTGGCACATGAAAGACCACGGGAGCAGCGAGCTGGTCATGGGCTTCTCGGTGGCCCTGGGCTTGCTGGGGGAAATTCTATTGCATCCGTTCAAAATGACGTTGCTTAGGAAACTGTCGAGGATGGGCACGGTGGGGCTGGGCCTGGGCTGCCTGGCGGCCCAGCTGCTCTACTACTCGTTCCTCTGGAGCTGGTGGGCCGCCCTCCCAGTCCAGATCTTGAGCGCCGTCAGCAACGGGGCTCTGTGGTGGGCAGTCAAGGCCTCAGTGGAGGACCTGGCCACTCCCAGGACAGAGAGACCTCTGGGTGCCATGTTCCGAGGCCACATTTTCGGGGGCGGGTCCAGCCTGGGCAGCTTCGTGGGGGGCTTCGTGGTGATGTACTTCAGCCTGGCTGTGCTGTATCGGGCCTGCTGCGTGCTCCTGCTGCTCTGGCTGGCCTTGCTCCTATCCATCCAGTCCAGACTACCCCAAGAGCAGAAAATAAACTACTCGAAACTGCTGGTCATGGAGGCCAGTGACACGAGCGACTCTGAGCAGGGGACAGAACGGGACTGGCTTGTGAAGGCCATGAGGGAGGAGTACTCAGAATAGATGGGCAGACAGAAGATCAAGATGTGCTGATCTGGGAAGGCATGGGGATGGGGCTAGTGCTGGGCAAAAACTCACCTGCTGAGGATGAATCCCAAGTCCAGCCTGGGGCTGCAGGGCAGCCTGGAGAGAGAGAAAGCAAGTCTGCGCAGAAGCCCTACGGGATCGTCTCATTGCATGATTTTCTTTACTTTTACGGTAAAAGGAGATTTAACTTTTTGCTGTTCAATCTTTTTTAAATAATGGAGGAAAAATACATTTGCTAAAAAAAAAAAAATTGCCCTTTGTATTCACCCTATTTTGGTGTGTAAGGTTTCCAAGAGGTTACTGGTACTGATTCTGGTGCTATTGGTTTCAGCCATGGCTGGAGTGCTCAAATTACACCAGCAGTGCCTGGAAGACAGGTGGCAGAGGGGGCAGCTGGCTTTGTTTGGTGAGTCATGTGTGTTCCTATGGGTCCTAAAAGCATGAGCCTGATCTTATAGAAGCCATGCTGTGGGCAGGTGAGAATGGCAATGAAAACCAACACTCTTCTCTCTCTCCTGCCACTGACACACAGGTGCCCACACGCACACCCCGGAGCCTGGGTTTCCAATCAGAGCAAAGATGGGCCCTGCACTATGTGTTGGGGGAGAAGGGACATAGGGTAATAGGTTTGCATTCTGACTCTCAAGTGTATGTGTCACCAGGGAGGGGTACGATCCCTAGAATTGTCTTCCATACGTACAGCAGAGCAAGGGCAGGTTCATGTCTTTGGATGCATACCTTGCATGCTCCACCTGGCACGATTTCACAGAGATGGTTTGCATCTGCTTGGTTGGGGTGCAGCAGCCTCTGTAGGTTTGGGTGGTCCACATTTGTGCCTGTGCTTAGCCACTCAGCACGGTGACTTCTCAAACCCTCCCATCCTCCCAGGAAAGGGCCCTTTATTCCAGAAGCCAGATGCCAGAGACAAAGTCTTCTACCTTATAATCAGGTAAGTATAGGATATTGGATTTAGAAGGGTCTCATTTTACAATTGCTAAAATGTCTCCTAGCTGGGTCAGACATGGTTCTAGAAATGGATTCTTTTTCAGTGTCTTCTAAGATTTAGGGTATAAATGATCAACAAAAAATTACCTCTGTCTTAAATAATTAGGGATTCATTTTTCTCACATAAGAAGTCTAGGGGTAGGTGGTCCAGAGATGGTACAGTGGCTCCACAATACTGCCAGGGACCTAAATCTTTTCATCCCTCTGTTCCATCACCTTCAGCTTGTAGATCCCATGTCTGTACACTCATGATAACAAGATGACTGCTGCACCTCCAGGCATCTCACCCATGTTCCAGGCAGGAAGAAGAGGGAGAAACAGGAATGAATGCCTTCCCAGAAACCCTCAGCAGATTTCTGAGTGAACCACAATACGTGGCCACCCAGAATTGCAAAGGAGTCTGGGAGGTAGGAATATTTTCCACCAGGCACGCTTACATCCCAAGCAAAATCAGGGTTGTGTGAGGAAGAGGAGGGGGCTAAGTGTTGGATAGTCAGCGAGCAAGGTCTAGCACAGTATCAAAAGTGGAATCACACCCAGGCCTATCTCATTGCAAGGTCTGTGTTCTTCCTTGCACGGTAAGCCAGCTTCCCCACATAAATGGCTTTAGCAATTCCCCGCCCCTGCCAACAACCCCATGACTACATCAAATTCGGTATCTGCAGGTTACAAATGAGAAGACAGAGTCTCAGAAAAGTCACACATTCGGTCACCAGCAGAAACACCACCAGAGCCCTAATCTCCTTAGCCCAAATTTTGATCATTTTCTGCTGTGCCGTAGTTCCCAAAGCCCGGCTGTGCATCCAGATCATCTGAGCGTATCAAAGATGACAGGTGCCTAGGGTTCTAGGTCCATCAGAACCTCCTGGCTGAGGCCCAGAAATCTGGGCTTTTTTAACGATTTTATTTATTTTTGCAAGAGAAAGAGAACGAGCATGAGCCAGGGGGAGGGGCAGAGGCAGAAGCAGGCTGCCCCCTGAGCAGGGAGCCCGACCCAGGGCTTGATCCCAGGACCCTGAGATCATGACCTGAGCCAAAGGCAGATGCTTAGCAAATTGAGCCACCCCGGTGCCCCAGAAATCTGTATTTTTAATGCAATCTTCACCTCCAATTTACAGATGACACAGTGACAGCTCTGCAACTTGCTGGAGGTCAACAGCAAGGAAGTGGCGGAGCTGGGACTCAGATGCAGCCTGGTGGCACCAGAGCCTGAGACTTTAACCACCATGTTCAATGACTAAGTAACAAGAGAAAAGGAGGGAAATTCAGTATTAAGATTGAAGGCAGCTATCACAGGAGATTTCCTGGGATGTAGGCAAAACTTACTACACAGAACATGCAATAATATTAAAATAAAAACACAGGTGTGTCCCCTCCTCATGTAAACAAAAGGAAAAGGGACAGGATTTGGGTGTAAGAAAGGATTTAAGTAAGTGTGGTTTGACCTGAAGAAGGAAGGAGGAGGAGGAGGCCAAGCGATGTGAGAGTTGAAGGATCTGAAAGATTTTAAGGGGGAGGATACTGAGAAATTCATGTTGGGGCCCCTTTGTTAATAGGTGACAACCCTCCATGTGTGAAGAATTATGCTCCCGGTTGGTCCTGGGGAACCCAAGAATAAATCAAACGCATAATCCCTCCCCTCAAGAAGCTGATGGTCTCAGGGGGGGAGGTTAACAGGACATCGTGGAGAAAGCCACGCCAAGAGCATCGTAGGTGTTTAAAAAAAAAAAAAAAGGACAGATCATTCCTAACTCAAGAATTCGAGGAAGATTTCATGGGGATGACATTTAGGCCAAGCTAATGGGTAGAGAGAGGGTGGTGCCTCGGGGAAAGGCAAGAAATACAGTTTGGCTGGAGCAAAAAGCATGTAGCGCAGTGCAGACAAGGCTGGGGAAAGAGCCTAGGGCCACGTCACGGAAGCCCTTGATTCTGTACACTTTGGGTGAACCGTGGAAGGTTCTAGACAGGGATCTGACAGGTGAGGACTACACTGAGATTTTTTTTTATCAGCTTTATTGAAGTATTATTTACATATAACAAAACACACATATTCAGAGTACAACTTGATACCCGTTGACATCTATACACATACGCACCTATGAAGCCATCACCACAGTCAGGGTAGTGAGTCTAGCCATCACCCCTGAAATTTCCTCCTGGCCCCTTTGTAATCCTTCCTCCTCCCTGGTCCTAAACAGTCATGGGGCTGTTCCCTGTCACTCTGCAGTGGTCACACTTACAGTTTTGTTACAGCCAAAGAGTACACCTCAGAACCAGAGAAAAAGGGGCACCTGGCTGGCTCAGTTGGTCATAAGTGTGAGCCCCGTGTTGGGCATAGAGATTATACTTAATTAAAAAAAAAAACATAAAGATAAAAGAACCAACCAAAAGAAAACACGTGTGGGGCAAGTTTAGGAGGATCAAACTTGACCCTTTGTGAAGGGTCAGGTTACCCACCCACCCCCAGCCCTGTGGAGTCGAAGCACAGCTAGCTCTTAGAACATTGATGTTCAACAGTGCACGGAGTGCTGCCAATCGGGGCGGGGGAGGGGGGGCACCAAGCTTCAGTGTCCGTGGCTTTTCCTGGGGTTTCTTTACGGACCCCATGATTCCTTGAATCTCAGACTTCATTCCATCTTCCGTCCCCCTCTCCTCCCTGGATGTCAGGCTGATTTCACAAGGCTCAAAGCCCCAGACTTCTAACCACACAATTGGTCTTTCTGCCCGCCCACCCCCCCTCACCCCCCCACCCCCGCTTTGCCCTCCCACCGTACTGCCTCTGCCTCACCTCTTTAGCATAACCACCGGTGCATTCTGAGAGGCCCACCGTGAATAACAAAGCACATTTATTATTTTTTAAAAGATTTTATTTATTTATTCATGAAAGACACACAGGGAGAGAGGCAGAGACACAGGCAGAGGTCCCTGCAGGGAGCTGGATGCAGGACTGGATCCCAGGACCCCGGGATCATGACCTGAGCAGAAGGCAGATGCTCAACCACGGAGCCACCCAGGTGCCCCAGTCCTAACACATCCTGCTTCCATCTAAGAGGAAAGCAAACTGAGTAAGCCATTAACCTTTATACTCAGGCTTATTTAGACTATTATTTTCCAAGCGAGTTGTACAGAACACTTAATCCTAGTGTGGTAGGGACGCCTGGGTGGCTCAGGGGCTGAGCGTCTGCCTTCCGCTCAGGTCATGATCCCGGGGTCCTGGGATCAAGTCCCACATTAGGCTCCCTGCAGGGACTCTGTCTCTCTCTCTCTCTCTCTCTCTGTCTCTCATGAATAAATAAATAAAATCTTTAAAAATAATAATAAATATTTTATTTACTTATAATAAATAAGGCAGAGACACAGGCAGAGGAAGAAGCAGGCTCCCTGAGGGGAACCCAATGTGGGACTTGATCCCAGGACCCCGGGACCACACCCTGAGCCCAAGGCAGATGCTCAACCACTGAGCCCCCCCAGGCGTCCCAGCAGGTGAATTTTGTATGAGAGAAAGAAGGTTGGAGACACAGACTGGATCCAGATTCTGGATGCCCTAACTGCCAACCTATGGGAAGGGGAGCTCTCAGAGGTTGAACGGTGCCTCCCCTCTCTGGGCCTAACACCTGCGTACGGTAATGCTTGTAATTCTCACAGCACGGGTGCTCATTTTACAGCAGGGGAAACTGAGTCTCGAGAGATTGCTTGACCTAGCTGCCCAGCATCACAACTATTAGGTGGTAGAGTGTGGCTTGAGCATGGATCTGACCCCTGCAAATCCCATGGTCCTTCCTCTGAACATCACACAGCTTCTGAGAAGGTTTTACCAGCCACTAGAGACAAATGTAAGTTTTTAACCCTCTCTTGCCGTTTGCCTTGTGAGCAATGGGTCTGAGTTGGGGGAGCTTTCGGGGGACAGGTAGTCTGTTTCGGGCAGACCACTGCAACCATCTAGGCAGGAAGTGTGTTAGCCAGGGTTTCTAATACCATCTTGACTAGTCATGCTAAAGCAACCATTTTCATTTCACTCCATACCTTGAAAAGAACACATCTAAAGTTTTAAATATGATGTCTGCTGAAGGTTTTATTAAGTTAAAAAAAAAAAAAACTTCCCTTCTTCATTTTCATCACAAGCTTTATCAAGAATTTCCTGCATCTTTTGAGAAGGTCACATGATTTTTCTTCTCTAGTCCATTTGGGTGGTAAGTTTC